TCCTTGTCATTTTTCATCTGTATATTGCTAGTACGATACAAATAAATTGATTAAGGAATCCCAATAGAAACTACATATATAATGCAGTCTTCTTGATATGAGACCGAGCTGTCAGAATTCAATGATAATACTGTCCTCAAAACTCCGAAATACGTCGATGTAACTTTAGGTAGAGACTCTTAACATGTAAAACGTTTCTAAGAATAACTAAAAAATTAATTTTATAAAGGTACCAATGACAATTTAGTATCGTGAGTTAGAGACAGTCAAGCATAAAAACAAAACTCTAATCTTATTAAATTCTATTATTTACTTATAATTTTAAAGGAGTAATCGATTATTATTATTTTTTTTAGCAAAGAGCTAGTTATGACACTTTTTAAACCAACTTTTTTATCAATTACATAAGTTGTATTATACAACTTATATGCCTAAGAAAAAAATCTTTAACAAATTTAATTTCTTAGTGATTAAGATTAAAGTTATACAAATAATTTAAAAAATGAAAACTTAAAGGTCAATGAGAGTTTAGACGGAAAAATGTAAACTCTGACAAATTTGGAGATTCCTAAAGTTACTGTATTTTATTTATATTACCGTGAAATTTGTATAGGCAAATTTAATAACTTTAATAAAATGACATTTAATGAATGAAAATTTATTTGCGGTAAGAACTAATAAGATTTACATATATTTAATATAATAAATTTAAAATTTATATTAAAATAATTTGACTAATATCTCGTTAATTAGAATATTTAATATTAGAAAAAAATGAATTTAATTAAACTTGAAAAAAATTGTAAATGATTACTTGTTGGGTTGGGAATCGTCTAGCGATTTTAACACCTGTAAGAACATTTAATATTATGCTCTTACCACTTATATACGTTATGTCTTCATTTACTCAATTCGTTATATATATTAATTGGCACAAAGAGAAATGCTGACAATTCTTCTTGTTAGTAGCCCGAAGCTACTGACGTCGCACTATCGACGGGCTTTTGTGTTTGAATGGTCGATATCACCATTCCGTCATATTTATTTAATTACTTTGTCAATAACTCAAATCAATCTTTATCTCAAGTCAAACCAATTATTTGCCTATCGCCAACCAACTCCGTCTCATTTGAATATAAGTACTAACTAATTATGTTAATTTTCAAATCAGACGTATTGTACATTATACATAACTTATATTTATTGAACATCTAAAATATTACTTCTTATTTCTGACCAAGATTCTGAATATAAATCCTAGCCTAACAAACCATCGCCCCTCTTTTTTTTCTATTTATTAACTAAAACCAGATTACATAAGTTACAATAATAAATATTACAATTAGGCTAAATCCCAATTAATCAAGTTTTATTTTTAAACAACTCTATTGTCTCCCTATATGAAGTTGCTTATAATTATTTACGTTTTTAATTAATTTTAAAGTTTTTATGTCGTTATTATGTACAAATAAATGCCTGCTACAGGAGATTTATCAACTTTTTGGTTTTTAATGTTTTTAAGTGTTCTTTATACATCAACCATATGTTTCTTTTTGTTTTACTTTTGTAACATTTTTTAAAATATGACCCTTTACCTAAATACCCACAGAGGTGATTTAAATCAGCAACTTTTGCATGAAAAGTTTATTTTTTCAACTTAACATTAGAAAATGTTCCGGAAATACTGTGTCTTTTAAACATATATTATGCTAAAGATTATGTTACGTACTGTAAGTTAAAAAAAAAATTGTTTCGACGACCTATTTTTTATGTGCAATGTCTGCCGTAGTTAAAAAAAACATGCTATTATGATGTTCAAATTTTTTTTTAATTTTGACGTTTTCCAAAGTCAATAAAATTAAATATGAAATTGTTTTCTTGTTCATTATATTTTTATCAATTTCAATTTTCTCAGTTATTACATTTTAAAAAATATACAACTTGTCGATTTCTTTATATCATAATACCTCACAAGGATTTTCTATAGTAATGAGGGTACTGATTTTCATAAAAGTTACATGAATCTAACATACATTGAAAATAAATTTAAACCTATTTTGAATATTTTACCTCCCCTAAGTTAAGAAAAACGTCTTTAAATTTTTGAATTAAATTAAATTGTCCTATTCAACTACCAACATCTACGAATGATTTACGGTTGCCAAGTCGGTAACATTACATTCTTTCACGCTCAGTATAAATCGGGTGAATCACCCCGTCGGCTTAATGACTTTTTTTACATTTTTTTCTTAATTCTTTTTGAGTATAAAAACTAAAAAATTGATCGATTTTTATCATATTTATATTGAACAACTTCATTGAATATTAAGGACCTCGCTGTAGTCTCGTCTTCTAAGAAGGAATTTCTTATTCATATTAAAATTAATTTACTATGAATTTTTTTTATGTCTGTCATTCATTTTCCTCACCTCTCACTTGACTAATTTTTTTCAACATACGTCAAATGATCACAAGTATTATCTAATTATAGATATTGCCCTCAAAAATTGAAAAAAAAAATCCACTTATCAAATAAAAAGTTACTTAACCTACTCTCTCTATATAAATAATTAAAATCAATAAATTATATATATATACCTAATTATCGAATTAGGTTTAACATGATAAAATAATTTATTAACTCTATGTGTGTGTCTCAATACCATTCTATAATATTCTAGTCTATAATTTTTTGATAATTCATTACCAACATGTTAATTATTTCTAAAAATATGATTTTGAACTCACCATAAATTAACAATGAATTTCTTTAACAACTTTTTGATTTTTTTTTTTTAGTTTTGCAATTTAACTAAGAAGGCATTGGAGTTGTGATACTGTGCGTTTTTTATTTATATCTTCCCAAAAAAATTCTCAGCTCTCACTGGACCAATTTTAATGATCAACACACCAAAGAACACAGTTTTAATTTAGTTGAGCTTATTATCACCAAATAAAGGGAAAAAACCCTTTGTTTTAGAAATTTAGACAAATATCTCAAAATCATGCTACTCTAAAAAATAGAAACTTCAAAAAAAATTTTTTGAATTAAATATCTCTAAAAATTATAGGAGTATTATACAGTAAAATCATATCTCTAAAATTTTAATAATAATAAACCAATATATACTTTGCTATGCCAAATTTTTACGCTGATTTCAAACCTAAAATTAATCTATCACCTGTTTTTTTAGATTATTAATAATTTTTAACACAAAAAAAATGATTATAAAAAAATTTCTGTCAAGTTATCATTGATAGTTAATATGTTAAAATAATCCGTGTAAAATTCCAAACCAAAATTTCATTTTAACTAATGAGATTTTTTCTAATTTTTTTGATCTTTTAAAGTTGATTTTTATGAAAATTGATTATTTAAAAATGTTGAACTTTTAAAAACTATTTTAGCTCAACTTTCAAGTTTAGAATATACACCATTTAATAAAAAAATTTATGAGGCATAAAAATTGAATTTTTTAGATTGATATGTGATCAGGAACTTATATAATTACAATTAACAAAATTAATTTAATTAGTATTAATGTATGAGGAAAAATCATATAATTTTTATATAAATGGATATCAACAAATAAAATAAAATAATGGCTACCTAATTTATTTTTAGTCCTAATTCTGTCACAATGTTCATTGCTCTGTGAGGGGGGTTGGCGAGCGGTGTTTCCAATCTTGGAAAAAAACCAGAGTTGTTATAAGTAATATCTTATCGTCTATCAAATATTACAAGAATATTATATATATTTTTATTATCATTTTTTTTTTTTTTACTAACAATAATATAAAATTCTAAAAAATCGTATGTATCATTCAAATCTTCATAATTATAAACTTTTTTCTATCATTCAAGAAATTTACTAACATGATTTTGTCATATAGATATCGATGTGTTGTTTCATACAATTTCTTTTGGAACTACGAAAAAAATTAATTAGAACATCTTACTTTTTTTTTCAAATTGCAACTATAGTAATTAGTTTAATATTATTTAATAATGTATAAATAACTTAATAGAATAATATAAAGGAGTACTTATTTTTATTAAATTCTACTATCATCAATAAGTCTAGTTTATAAACTAATCATAAAAGAACTTCTAATTTACTGATTTAAAAAAAAATAAATGTCATTACCCTGATTATTCTACCATTAAACTAAATAGCAAACACGAATATTAAAAATATTAAAACTATTTATTCTTAGTTAACATTAGACGGAAAAAAACATTGACTTACTACATATTAATCTAATAACTAATAATTATATTGTCTATTTCTATTTGTAAACTAGATAATTATGACAAAAAATAAAAATACAGAAAGACATAATTTGTTCAATAGTATAATTAATTAGTAATTTTACAATTTACTTCACAAAAATCTTATTAAATAATCATAATAATAATTTTATACCTTTTAAATATTGTAATCTATTAAAAAATACTTAATTCATGATCACTATTTTAGATTCTACAAATAAAAGCATAAAAATATAATGTATAACAAAATTACTATGAAACAAGTGAAATAAATGAATTTGGTATAATCATTTATTTAATATATACGTTTAATTGTTTATCATTTTTATGTTATAACTCAAAGATATACATGTACACAGTTTTTAAAATATAATCTTATACATATTTATTTTCAGTACTCCTATTAAGTATAATTTTTTTTACAAAGATTTATTGGTCATCGAAACATTAGAACTTAATGTTATTCGGCCTTATTGATTAATACTAATAAAATAATTTAATTTAAGCAAAAAGAATACAAATTTGTGCAAATACATTTTTATAAAGAATTACAATCTAAGAATGCCTTAGATTTACATCCTATAGCAAATATTTATTAAATAAAATATTTTAGGTATATAATAACTTAATAAGCTATAAGTAGTAATATTAATTTGTTTATTTAATAAGCAATATATTGTGTATAATATAATAACTATAAATAATATTATGTAAATTATACAATATATAATTCACAAATATTACTGCAAAATATTTTAATTAAAATTTTCTTGTATGAAAAAAATAATTAAATAGAAAAATAAAACATTACATGCACTATAGGTTAGGTTAAAAAAATATTGACATAATTTTTATTTCATAGTAACCATTATTTTTGTATTTATTTTTATCGCACCCTGTCATACGATTTTCAATTCGCTTGGATGTCAAGACTTTACAAACATATTTTAAAAGTGATTTGGTAATTAACGTACAGCTTGTGAAAATAAGAAGTTTATCAAAAAAATAGAATAATAAAAATTTATATTTATAATAAAATAAATGATAGCGAGAATCGTTACTTGTTCAAAACAAATTAGAAATCATTCACATAAATAAACAATATAAAATATTATACAGTAAATTGAAGAAAAGATATCTGAAATTATAAGTTTCCGTTGATAAAAAAAATATTAAACAATGAATTGGCGGTTATACAATTAAAGTATAATAATACTTTTTATTGTTCACTGCTTAAACAGACAATTTATGCCAATCTGCGATTTGTCTTCGAGGTGCACTCATTACTTCTTTCCAGTGGCGTTCAGCCGTTGCAGATGGATTATTTGAATTGCCCATCAACACTCGTCCAATAATCTAAATTAACGAAAAAAATCAATAAAACTTTATAAATAACACACATTTTTTTAATACAGTTGTATGTTTATAAGAGTGTAATTAAATCATAACCTTTATTTTAAATATAAAACTTATTAGGATGGTTTTGAAGTAGCTAAGTCCCTTCAAAAATATTTACGTATAAAACTAGTAATGTCTTTTTAGCGTTTACTACATTTAAAATTTTAGAAATTATAAAATAATAAAAATAATGAATAATGAAAATTAGTATGTAGTATAATAATTTTATATAATATTTCATTATTTACTATACAAAGAAAAAGGAAGTATAATATTAGAAGAGTTGATATGATAAGTATTTTGTATAAAAATCTAGAGATCTTATAATTGAAATGGATTGTATGTATAGCAAAGGCCTCCCACACACGACTATTGGTCGTACATATTTCATACCGTTTCTAGGGAAAATTTGAAATTGAAACTATCAAAAGAAAAAAATAATTCCTTATATATTGCCTCAATGTAAAATCATTTTTGTCTAAAAATGATTATAAATTATCTACAATTGTAGATTAAAAATTGTAGGTATTAAATGAATTATTGATTTTATGCCTTAAACAAAAATCTAGCATAATCTTACCTCGTTTTTGGTAACTCTATCGTGGTCAAAAACGCAAAACTCTATACAAACGTTTTGCAAATCAACAACAGATGATGGTAAATCGAATACAAACGATTCATTGTAAACAGGATTTAAAGTGCGTTTTTTCATATGCGTTCTTTTTTTCGATATACGTGTACCATCAACCAAAAAGTTAATTTTTACAAATGGATCTGCAATAAAAATACAATAAATAATATTTAAGTTATAATATTATAAATTCAAAGAAACTCACGAACAAAATAACTAACAAAAAAAATCTTTATAGAAAAATAAATATCATAATTAGAGAGCGCATTTATAGAGATTTATAAGTTTTGGTAAGTTATTCCAAACACATCATTACCCAGTATAAATTTTTATAAGTAGGCTTGGAAGCTTAGTAATGTAATCTAACTGGGTTTATGTTGTTAGAGGGGTTAGGAAGATGAAAATGAAAAATATTTCTACATTACTGTATATTCTAATAACAAATTTTAACAAACTTGGGTTATTTTAAAATAACTCAAACAAAATTTATTAATTCATACAAATCCGCTCTATTATGATTTAAATACTAACCAGCTAATCCAGTTAAATCCATCTTGGGTAAATTTCTGGCTTTCAACACAACTACAGTGACCCTTCTTGTAGCAGGTTGCCAACATAAAGAAACTAATAACTCTCCACGATTAGCAGCAACTTGAGTTTGCTAAAAATGAGTAAAATTAAGAAATTCAAAACAAATTTTTTTTGTTTTATTGGTTTTTTAAAATGAGATTTATAAATCAATTTATCGACCATTTAATAAACATCTTAATATTGCATAATATGAATCATGTTTTGGTTGTTATTATTCTATTGGATTTTTCGTTTTAATTTTATGATATCATGTTCAATAAAATAAACGTTTATTTTGATACATTTTTTAAATTATTAAAGTAGCAATATAATGTATTTTTGATACAGAAAGTATCTAATAAATTGAATTTAAGTTATTTTACTAGCGAATAAAATACACCATAGTTACATAAATAACTCAACGAAAATAAAGAAATCTTATATAAAAGCATATGGTTTCCATGAATAGCCAATATTACCTTTTGAACGAGTGATACACTAAAACTATCTATCTATGTGGTATATAGCGGTTTATGACTAGCGAGGAGAATAGCAACTTATTTTAACATAGCCAATCGGCTGCTCGTGATCGAAATTCGAACCGATGACAATGTGTGATTTGCTCTATAGTATTGTCGAATAGGCCACGTCATATTTTACTAAAATAATTTAAGAAAATAATATGATTTGATAAATATAAGTATGATTTTAAGATTTTCAAATTGGAATTTTTTGATCACAAAATATTCATCCAAAGTGTAAGAGAACATGAAAAAACAGTTGTCTTTATAGAAAGTGTGTTAAATGACAATTTAGAGCAACTTCTTAATGAAATCTATAAATTAAAATTCGAGAATTTCATATTTTTCTAGAAAAATATATAAATTGTTACATAACACGTTATTTCCGCTCTAACGTCATATATATATATTTAATGCTTACTTTTAAATTACGCAGAACAATGTCTTTTTGAAATGAAACTTGCTCTTTTTCGATAGCTTCGTGGACATCTTTTTCATTTAGAGTAAAAAATACTTCACCAATTAAGCTATCCCTTGAATAGCGATCAAAACTAAGTATGGCAAAGTGCAACGTCAAAGACTAAATAAAATTAAATATACAAATATAACGATTTTATTATACATAGTAAGTTTTTTACTTTTATGCCTATTAAAATATACTCTATTATAGTTTTTATATAATACAGCTAAAAGTGTCTTTTACATAAATTATTTCATAAAATCAATAATATAATAAATATTATAATGATTGCGTAATTCATAACCTAAATGTAAATTATAAAGTTGTAAATGTCTTTGACATGAATGTAATTTTTCAAAAATACAAGATAAATAAAAAATACTCAAAAGATATATGGTAAAAATATTATACGACTTCTTGAAGTTTTTTAGAAAACGATAACAAAAGAATAATTACTTGAAGTTTATTTGATTGTATTCCGAAAAATGTAAAGTCCTCATCAAACACCGGATTTCTCGATTTTCTTAGTACTCGAGTTTTCACTTTGTGTTCTTTATCAGGCAATAATTGTAATTTAACATACGGATCACTTGTACTGGAACTTTTATCTTTGGGCTGTAAGTCCATGCATTTGTTGATATTAACTAGAAGAACTTTTTTGTCTTCTTTATATCTATAATAATAAAATTACTCGTCCAGGATTGAAAATTAAATAAAATTTACTTAATTTCACAACAATGTAAAATATCATGAAAAAAAGGTTAAAAATGAATCTGTCGTTAATTATTAATATATGTAATAAATATATTTGGTGTACAATTATCATGGTGCCAAATTGTCCGTCGTATACCACGTCGTGTCGTAGATCTCATAATACTAATTTTGAAACCCTTTTCATATTTTTTTAGTTTTTAACTAATTTTGGTGATTTTAAAAAATAAATTTTAAATATTTTATAATGTATCGAAAAAAAAATTAGAAATTATAAAAATTCAATTTTTATGATTTTTAATGATATAGTATACGTTTATGATACAGAAACCGTGTAATGATGGAAAGAAAAATAGTGATATAAAAACTTTTTATTTACATCATACATTTTTAATTTTTAACGCCTATGTTTGATAATTTTATCGGTATTAAATATTTTAATTTAATTCCGAATGTTATTTATGAATGGCCTAACATATCTATTAATTTTAATATTGATTTTTTCATGTTTTTTTTTTATTAATTTATCACACCGGTTTTGATAAAACATTGTACAGAGAAATTCGTTTATCAAAACCCACTTAGTTTTTCGCAATATAAATACTATATTGAAAAAAATTAATTGGGTTTTTAGTTTTATATATTTCATGATTTATCATATATTAATTATCTTTTTAATTCATCCCTTGTACCTTATAAGGATGCCAATTTTATTATTTTAAATGGCAACGTACAACTTTGACTTAGACATAGAAAGTTATCTAATGAAATAAATGTTTGGTCAATCACAACTTTTAGACCCGTATTTAAAATTTATTAATATTTTTATATCTAGACGACAGGATAGGTGTGGCTAAGAAATGTCTAGTGATAGAATACCCAAAACTGTATCTTTTCGCCAGTCCACTTTTATAATCGATTTAACTTACTGAAGTATTGATCTAAAAATTTTTATCGACCAGTCATTTTCTTAATTACATAATTTTCTATTTTATACATCCGTGTATGCTGCTATTTGAAATAAATAAAGTTAACACCCTTATAACGTATAAGAGATAATCATAAAAAATATTTTACAACAAATAAATGGAGATATAATATAAATAATTAAAACAAAAAATAAATTACTATTTTAATAGAAATTGAGTGTTTAGTGTTAAAAGATTCAACTTGTATATGAAATTATGAAAAGTGCTTCATGGCTACGCAATTCCATAATAGATAGAAAACAACTTTTTCTTAAAGCGAATATCGTATCTTTATTCCAATACAAACTATTACCTTTTTTCCTATTAACTAAGTTTATTTTTTATGCGCATAAATAATAATTTAGTTTTATTTAAAACAAATTGCGAACCTTAATTTGAAAAATAAAACTCCATTCTTGCCATTCGTGTCATTTGGACCATTTTCGATATTTTTTGTATTGTTTTTTGATAAAACTTTATTATCTGTTTCATTCTCGTGCACAACTCTATAAAAAAATCAACAAATTTAAAAAGGTTAATATAATTCTAAGGATCAGAGGCATAGATAAGGAAAGTTTAAATCTCTCATCATTTCTAAATTTTTTTACGTGTAATCGAATTTGATTAATAAAAAATAGGTTAGTATATTATGTATTCAACCCCCTTCTCACTCCATTTATACCCATGCTATATATACTACAAAAAAACTTACGATAAAACATGTGTTGGCGGTTGTACGTTCTTTTGTTCACAGGTTGGACTTATACTTGGAGTTATTTTTGATATTTTTTCAGATTCTTCTGGACTAAGACTTCCGTCACCCTAAAAAGATAATATATAATATTTTTATATATCTAGTTAAAAAATTATAACTTATTCAATATAAACTATACTATAGGAGTTTTATTGCCAGTTGGACTAGGACTTTTTTTCAAGTAATGCGTTCCAGAAGGATTCTTGACTGCTTTCACAGCTGTAGTAGGCTTTCGGTGATAAAAAGCCAAATGCGGCTCTGATGCAGCAGTAGGTAATTTGCTTTTGTTATTGAACCATAGTAGTTTCTTTTTGGCACAAATATGACACGCTAACAAAATTATGGCAAAACAAATAGCAGCACTAGCACTTATTAATATAATACTTCCATAACCTGAAAAATAAATTGATAAATTGAATACTATTAATTAAATATTTAAGAACTGTAATGAAATAGTATCTGACATACACTTTAGTTTTAATTATTAAAAGGGTGAGCATAGTCACTCCTCGTGCACTCAGACTTTGTAGTCCATTGTGAGCGACACATTGTAAGAAGTGATATAAAAATTCCCATGCATCAGTATAATATTTTTTATACACTCAAAATTTTACATACAAGTAATTTTGATGTAATCTTCTAATACATTTGTATCAAAATTTGGACTTTGTTTTAAGAATGTAAAATTAATTAAACATTTTGTAAAAATAAAATTGATATATTAAAGAAACAGTATCATGATCTGCATGTTTAGTAAATCTAATTTTTTTTCTTGATTTTATCAAAAATTTACTCTTAGCCCAAAATACATTTTTATTAAACAAAATTTTTGAATAATTTAATTAAATTTAGAAATATATTTTTTAACTTTTGGGGAGACAATAACGAGTTTTAAGCTCTCACCCTATTTACTCCTGTGGTTCAACTCACAAACATTAGTTGTAAATCGAAAATACATTAATGAAAAAATGATTCTGTTGAACATTTCAAATATTTTAATTTTATAATAATGTTATTTTTAATAATCAATATCGTTGATTTTTATCACGCTATGGGGTGATAACATACAATAATGTTTAATCTATTAATATTTTTATAAAATTGTCTAATATTTTGGTTTAGTGTGTAATTGTATAATAATTAACATAATAGTAAAAAGGTTTACTAAGTATTTTACTATTCGTCTAATAATAATTGCATAATACCACTACTCATTTCAGGTCAAACCTCATTTAAATGTTATATGTTGATGATATTTTTACGAACCAAGTCAATTATCTTAACCTGTACTTAAAGAAAATTTTACTAATACAAGAATTAAATATTTTAACGATATTTGATCTATAAATATCATAATTTTAACTCGACGCAAAGCACGAGAAGGTATCGATTTTACCATAATGTGTCTTTTTTTGAAAAAATACTCAGCTTACACTGTTCCGACTTAGTTTTTACGACAAAAGAAAAACCGGTACAAAGGCGAGCGTGCTGAGTATATGCTCCACGTCCTGCGGATAGCAATGGCTTAGATAGGTTTTTTTTTTTTATAATTTATTATACTAGAGAAGATAATTTTTTTTTTTTGGTATACTTTTTAGGTGAATACAATTTAAAAGCTAAATATAGAAAGGGTTTAAATAAAACAAGCAACGCAATCAATTTTTTTATCTTTTAAATTTTTGAAAATGTTCCAGAACGTCTGTCAACTTACAAATTAAAATAAGTGTACTATAATATTAAAACCAAAGTTTGTCCCGACATGGTTTTACTACGCTAAATTAGCCACCAAAGTAAAAATCTCGATTTTCCCAAAAAGTTTTTTGTTTTTAATTGTAAAAGAGTTTTGGGAAGACTAACATATCAAATTATAGCTAATTAAAAAACTGAATATCCCGACTTTTTATTTTCTATTTGTATACGACTGCTAAAGTCTAAAATGTTGGTTAAAATTTTCCATTTTTGTCTTTTTTTATATATACATAATCGTGTCAAATCGTTTTAAGATAACGATGTTAATCACATTTAGATATCAATCTATACTATATTCCACTATGTCGGATCTCTTTTAAGATGAGTCTCAATTATACTGGGTTTTTTTTATATACTTATAGTATATTTAAAAATGATCAGCGACCCACAGTAAATTTTTCGATGATTCACTACGACCACATTTTTATGAAATTAAGAAAAATCTTTTTTTCTTTTAAGTACAAATGAAAATAATAAATTTTTCTCATTACATGCGATACGTGTATAAAGAGTAAAATAATTATATATTTACATTTCTTCAACAAAATTTTTTTAATAGTCACTATTATCATATTAAATAATTATAACATTATGGGTGTTTCAATTAAATCATAATCAGTAAAACAACCTAAAGGATAATGATTTAACTAAAAACAGACAAAAAATATTTCTAAAGTGACTATTTGAATACTTATTATTTTAATACCTTTCTAATAAATAAAGTATTTATTTCTATAAAAAGCATCCAAATAATAGTGTATTTATCTTTTTCCAATAATAAATCATTGATTTTATTTGGAAATTTGTTGAATATTAAAATTGTAATATAATAAATATTATTATCATTTGAACAACTTAAAAAACAATAATTGTAAAGAATATGTATTTTAGAGTAACCATAAAATTAGGACTTTTAAAAATTTGACAATCGTACACCCCAATTATTTCAAAATGAAAAAAATAAGTTCAAAAGAAAAATAAGTCATACATTTTTTTTAAAACAGATCACTTCTAATAAATAGTTAAGGTTATACTTCTAATAAATAAATGGGTTGATGGATAATTATCTAGTTTTCTGTATTTTTCTCTCATAAAAGTATGACTTTTATAACAAAATTGATTAGAATACAGTTTATTAACTAATTTACTACAAAAAAGTAAACTATAAATTTCATCGAAAATAGCTTTTTTTATCAGTAAAAAAAAATTAGCTATTATTCATTTTTAACGGAAATTATAGTTTTTTTTATTTATGATTATAAATAAACAATTTATTCAATAAACAATTCATTTTTTAATTATATAATACAATCAACATTTTTTGGTATTAAATTTAAAAAAAAAATTGTATGGCGTATTTTTTTACGTATCTTATTCTTTTTATTATAATATATTATAATGACACACGTAACACTAATATAGCTTTTTTTAATAACCACACAATTGAAAGTCATTCAAACGTATATAAGTCAACTATAATAGACATGATACATTTTATTGCCCTTTAATACCTTTTATAATTTTCCCATTGAATACGATGACTTATCAGATCATATCAAATAACCTAATTAATTGTCGATTTAACAAAATAATTGTCAGTGTAATGAAATTACTCGGAGAACCTAGTTATTTAGTGGAACATAGGAAGCACTAGTAAACATTAATTTTGACTTGTTATACAATTGGAATATTGTAGGTAGAACATAAAAAATAGATAAATATAGATAATGTAGAATGAAAAGATAGATAAGATTATCAGAATGTATAAAAAAAAAAAAGCATATAGTATTTTGGAGTACAAATAACCCAAAAAAATACAAACTAATTATTTTAACACTATCACTTAAATTATTTTATAATAATTATTATGTTCAGAAAATCCTTTTTAGTATTTTTTAGTTTCATAGACTTCTTCATTTATCAGTTATTATTTACTTTTTTTAATTTATCCCTTATACCTTACAGGGATGTCTATTTAATTTTTTTAGATATCAACGTATATATTTAAATAGCTTAGAAATTAAAAAAATAATCTAATTAAGAAAATGATTAATCGATAACAACTTTTGGATTAGTATTTTGGAATTAATTAAAAATTTTATACCTAGGCGAGAGAAGAAGTTCAACCAAGAATTGCCTAATGATATAAATAGTCATAACTGGTTTCTCCTTCAAATTTTAAAATCGTTTTAACAAGCTCATACAATAAAAAATAATTCAGTTAACGACTTATGGCCTATCATTTCAGAAGTTCTCAACATTTTAAAATATCATCTGGATATGTGTAGGTATGATAATATTTATCATTAGACATTTCTATGTCGTATATCTCCTCTCGCCAAGGCACAAAAATGTTAGTAGCTTTCGAAGGACATTTCTTAATTAAAATTATTTTTTATTTATAATCTAGTTAAATATGTATGTTGGTATTTAAAAAATAAAGTTTATATCCTTATAAAGTGTTAATATTGAATATTGTATGTATTGAAAAAGTAATGAATACAGAAAAAACATGAAATATATGTAACTAAAAAAAATACCAAAAATATTGTTTTTAACATAATTATCATTTTAATTATAAATTTAGTGGCTAGTATTAAAAGAATAATATTGTATAAATAAAAAAAATATGTAGGTATGATGACCGACAATTCAATTCCACCAGTGTTAGAAAAAGGCAAATATATTGCAACTACTTTTCTAAACTTTCATTTATAATATTCCATATAAGAAATTAAAAGAATAAATTAGTTATAAAGAACTTTAGAATCTTATTTTTTCTTGGAAATAATACAAACGAAATTAAAGTGTTTGCACCCTGAGCTTTTCATTAACTTAGATGGATAAAGAAGTAATTTATTGTTTTAAAATGTATTTATTCCGGTAACAATTCAAATTAAAAAAAAAGTTCTTGAGAGATTAAAAATATTTAAAATAATATTTTAGTACGTCATAATTATTGAGTATTGTGTCATTTTTATCAAAGAAAGATTTTAGTGCTCATTTTAATAAATAATTTTAAATCAAAACTGAAAAAATATACTAAAATACAATTACCAGATATTGTACCAAGAAAAATTATGACATTATTTGAAGAATTGGACATTAAAACCAACTTTTTAAGGTCTGATCCAAAAACATGGGATACAAATGATGAATTTACTAACAGTAAAAGTTGTTAAGACTTTTTTTAGTTAAAAATGACTTAGCTGAATGAGGAGTGTCAATAATTTGATTTAAATAATTATGATTCATCTCTTAATATACTAAATTTTGTATAAATTATAAAATCTATACAATCTATTATAAAATTTGAAACACTATGTAATTTGTATTTATAGCTACATTTTTATATTCAAATATTTCGATAATTGTTTAATCAAACAATAATTAAAGTGATCTCATAAAAAAATAATCTTTAAAAATATGAGATAATACCAGATATATAAAAAAAACATTATGTATAGAATATCAAAAATGAAAAAAAACATATCAGTTACTTGTGGATGTAATGTTATTTATGACAATTTATAATTTATCTTGCATAATAAATAGTTATATATTATAAATTCTTATTACGTTTAATAATAATAATAATAATAATAATTTTTAAATTATTATTATTATTTTTTATATTATTTTTAATGCCAATAAAAGACAACTTAAATAATAATAATAATAATGACCAACATTAAAAAGTATTTGATAATTTTATTTAGTTTAAGCAATATTTTGGCGAAATCGTAGAATTTTTCCTTCTGGCCCTTGTATCTTATTATATATTTAATGATAATTTAAAATAACTGTTTTGTCATTTTCAAATAACGACAGATCTTAGAAAATTGTGACATCCTTCTAAACATAAATTTCCATGAGTCTATAAAAATGTTAATATTGTATTATAATTAATTATACAGACGGCCTACTTAACTCAGTCGCGAAACTGTCAGTCCTCAATGCATAAGTACCTGGATTCGACTCCGGTGCAATAGGTTATGTATACTTCACGTCCTTCTTTAACACAAGCCTAGATTTTCAGATATAGAATAAGATCTACTCTATTGTAAACATAATTGACGTATATTTTAAAATATATTAAAAAAACAATTATTTTATGCAACACTATCATTTGTCATTAAGTTATTTTGAAGATATGAATATACTATTTTAGAAAAAAAAAATATGGTCTAAAGAGTAAAATATTTTACATAGTTCTAATTAGATTTATAGTAATTTGAAAATAATTAGAGTGAAAATAACAATAATAATAATTTAAAATAATTTAAAAAATAAAGATAATAGCTATTAATAATCATATAATTTCTGAGTTGATGACAATTATTTGTTAGGAAAATAATAATTCATGATAAATTGCATCATTGGAATCAGTAACAATTATTATTAATTAAGTTATTTCAAATAACTATAAAAGTAGCAAATATAGAAGACCATAGTGATAGATACTAAAAATAAATTATCAATGTGTTACAATAAATTATTGGCCAATAAATTTTGTAAGATAAAATACCTTTGTTAACTTTGAATGTTGTCCTTATTTCACAATGTATTAACGATTACGAAAACTGTTGTAAAGTGTATATTCAAATGGTTTTTACAATTACATAGAATTAAAAATAGCTCTACTAAATAAAATATACAGGACCGGATTATCCTATTTGGGCACAAAGGCCAGAATTTTTAAGAAACTCCAAAAAATTTTTTTTAAAAACACTGCAAACAATGTTTTTATTATAACACAAATAAATACTGCAGTTGATAGCAAAAGTAATCATAATAATAATAAGAATATAATTTTGAAATTTTTAGTTATTTTACTAATTGGGCAGAATAGAACAGGTTTTTTTTTTTGGATGCACCCATTTCTCCTGGGCCCAAGGGCCAGAGCTCTCCTTGCCACACTCCTTAACACCGAGGATATAAAATATAATTATTTACTACCAAAAATTAAACAATACAATTATCTTACATTTTTCAACTATTTAAAGCACTGTTAAAAAAAAAGGTTAAAATACATTCATTTTATTTTTATGAATTTTTTGTCTAATACACCATTTAAATTAATTTTTATTTAAATAATCATTTTTTAAATGTAAATTTCTTTGATACCGCGATTGGCGTAAATCGGCTAAGCAGTAAAAGTAAAGTATCAAAATATCTTTTGTTATAGGCATTAAAATTTTTTTTGAAAAATGATACAATGCCTTATAAAATAAAATATGAGAATATAATAGTCACAGATAAATTTNAAATTTTTTTTGAAAAATGATACAATGCCTTATAAAATAAAATATGAGAATATAATAGTCACAGATAAATTTCCATGCTGGTTCATTTGAGATTTTAAAAATCTAAACTTTAATCATACCACATAGAAAAAATATAAACATAATTTTTGTCATCTTATTATTAACTTGATTGCTAAAAAAAACTGCTGTAATATTACTTATATTTGTTTTAAAATAACATTTTAATAAGTGCAATATTTGTAAATAAATATTTATTAAATAAATTTATTTAATGATTAATATTTAATTAAACATTTTATATTAGTCCAATTATATAATCCTTTTTTATTTTCTGAAATAATTTTAAATTTTATACTTAAGTTAGCAATATAAGTTATATTAAAATTTCAAATTCATAGGAAATTGGGCATGTTTAACAAAAACCACGTAGGAAGAAGTTAAGCATGAAGAAAATCCTACTAAATTATTTTCCCATAGGAATTGAAAACTCCAGTTACATTGCAGACTTTAATGTTTTATGCATTAAAAGATTGAGTAAATGTTATTTAATAAGAAAAAAATAATTGGTTTTTCGGTCACAAATGAGAAATTAAATTAAAATCTCAGGATCACAAATAATCACGTCTTTAGTTTCTGAGAAAATTTTAAGGAAATTCTCCAAATTTTTCAGAAGAGCACTTTAAAAATTGAATAATAAACACGTATAAATTACCAAAAATATTTTATCAAATCCTTTGTAAAAATGTCAAAATCGCCCAATTCTTTGACTTAAGATTACGACATTTAAAATTTTATATTACAGCAAAAATAATAAAATATCGGTATGAATGCAAAATTTGAAAGCTTACAGCTCTTTCAGATATTAACTTAAAAGTCTGAAATTTGTCCGATGCACTGAAATAAATATGTGACATTTTTAGAATAAGATTTACAGCAGTATAAGTTTGATGTTATCAATATTAGAATATTTTTTTTCGCGAGTTTTAATCTTATCTAAATATAATAATAATCATAATCATATCTTCTTTAATATTAAAAACACCATATTAAAACTTTGCAAATTTTATTCTTAAGTTTATATAAATTTATGAAATTTTTTAAAACTTTAAATATGACGGTAATTTGTTTCTTGAAAGTTCAAACTTCAGAAAATTTGAATTTGAAAATTTTGAAAGCTCAAAAAAGATTTTTCACGTGTTTTATAGTTTTAAATAAAAGGAGACACAATGACAAAAATAACAATTTTTTTTTATTTAATAAAAACAGTAAAAAATATTTGAACGAAATTATAAGACAATCTTGTAGATTATACATGGAGTGGTGACTCACATACTTAAAGAAAAAATGTTTTATTGTTAATTACTTAAGAAAAATTCTAGGGGCGTGAATTAAAGAGAAATTAATGGCATAAATCGTTCTAAAACAAAAATATTTACGTGATGAATATATAATTATTTTTATTTGAAAGGGTTAGTAAATAATTTCTTATGTATATCACTCGTAGAACAAAACTCTAATTAGTCCACTGAGAATTCGCCTACATGTTATGCTATCTAGATCATAATATGATCTAGCTATATTGTGGTGAATTAAAATATGAGCAACAATCTGTAATAAAATTAATACGCGAAAAAGTTACTTATGTCCCTTTTCTTGGAAACCTAAAATATTATTATTATACTATTCTAGTTGAGTCCATAAATATTTCGAAAATGCATGTCAATAGTTTATCTTCAAATATATTATTTTACAATTCGTTTCACCTTAAATTTTTTTTTTAATAAACTTCTTATAGATTTTTTTTTATAATGAATTATATTTTTTTATTCAATCGGATATAAATAATAATTAAGTACATAAAATTGTACTATCGTAGAATAATAATACATTATAATACAAATAGATTAAATTCGTTTATATACTATTATAAAATAATCGGGGTACAATTCTATATTTCACCTCCTGGAACAACATTTTTACTACTACTGAAAATTTATCGAAAGACCTTTGTTGCATAGGAATAAACAAAAAAAGAAAGTCTTTTGCTTTGAAAAGTGTCAGCAATTGCTCATCCGTGCTGTTTTAAATGCGGTCCTGGTCCATTTAACGTAGAGTATAAATGGATGAGAAATGTCCTTTTTGAAAAAGATAATGATAATCCTTAATGTTTAAGCATTAAACTTCTTTATATTATTAAAATATATATTTATTTTTATTATTGAATTTATCAACGTAGAATAAAATGTAAAATACTGTTATTTAGTATACTCTCACAATACTATCAACCATTTTATGATAATATAACTAAATTAAAAACTATTTAAACTAGCGATTATAATGACTTTTCCATTACTACAGTTAAAAACGAATATTCTTGTTATTAGTTAATTGATTTTAAAATACTCCATTTCTGTTGATTTTATCTTAATTTCAATATTGAATTTCCATTTTTTCCAAAACAAAATGAAATTTTAAAATTTCTAGTTAATAAAATTAAAAACTTAAAGTTGCCTTTCCATTAAAAATAGTCTACATGGTTTTCCTCTATAAAATAACCATCTGGGAAGTATACTTATGGGTGGATGGCAGTGGGTGGTCGGGTTTCGGAGTAAGTAAAACTAAACAAAAACAATAAATGATAAATTAAATTTATATTAAGTGAAAATATTGTTTCAAGTGTCAAACAACATTTTGATAATGAATTTTTTTTAAATCAAATTATAAATATATNAAAATATTGTTTCAAGTGTCAAACAACATTTTGATAATGAATTTTTTTTAAATCAAATTATAAAAATTAATAATAAATAAGCATCTCGGAATTCAAATGATAAACCATAAAACATTAAATGTATTACTTTTCATCTACCTCGTTTTGTTTTTTAACGTTTGTAACATTTGTTATATTTAAAGATTATGATATAATAACAATTTTTATTTTTTAGCCATTTATATGAACAGATATTTTTATACGCACAATTATGTTTACCTACTAATCCTAATTAGTAAAAATAGAACGATTTAAATCTATTGAATCATTTTTTTGGTTAATAATATAAAAGAAACTATTGAAATAAATTACTGAAGGTGTAATTAATTCTTGAACAACTTATTGTTTAGCGTAAATTATACCCAGAACTTAAGTCACTAATACACAACGATTAAATTGGTAAAATGTGAAAACGAACTATTACGTTTAATTTTGAATTGTTTTTTGGTAATTTCACTCAAGCTTAATTAATATAGAAGTCTTACTCGTCAATATGCCGAACTCGGTTTTCTTAGCCACAGGCTGCTCAAGGTTTTGATGCGCGTAACCCGTGGCAGGCATAGCGGACAAACACAGTGAATAAACGCGTCTAGCTCACTCAGAAGCTATCCAGCGACTACGGTACGAGCTGTGTACAATGGCGGTCTACGGGCGGGGGTGCGTTCAATAAAATGAATGATTCTAGTAGTTGCACCCGGCCACCACCTACTAAAACAGACACGCGCATCACATGCTTAACAGTAAACACACTTGTTAGACCTTTGAAGGTTTAAACGTGGACACCGGGAATGAAACAAATTAATTTAAAAAAAAGGACTTCACGACAATCATTGTATGATTGAATAACAACAACAATAAACTTCAGCAAAATCTGAACATTTCCGTATATTTATGTTAGGAAAGTTAAATTCATTTGGATTTTTAATACTGTTCAGTCTTACGTATTCAATAGTGATAAGTATTTATGTTGTTGAATATTTAATAATTTATTTTTCTAAATTAAATAATAAATCTCGACTAAATTTTTCATATTACAGTAGGATTTACCAAAGTATTTTATTTTATAAGTGATTTTGTTATATTTATAAATTAATTATCAAAAATTTTAGCCAGTAAAATTATACTTCATTTTCTGCCATAATTAAAAGTTTTACTAACAAATTTCCTTACATATTGTATTTAATTTAATTTCCCGATTCATTAAATAATTTTTTGTTTAAGGCTACTCCTTGGGCTAACAAAATTCTACACAGAAGTTTTAATTAAAAAATTTAATGAGAGACGTTACACCTAATCCCTCTTCCAAAACTTGATGTTAAATTAAGGGTAGTCACTTTTAAATGAAATAGCAGATTTTTCGATGAAATAAAAATAATATTGATACATTTTTGTTTATTCTTTTAGTTATATGTTTTCTCAATTTATCAGTTAGTTATTATTTACTTTTTTAATTCATCTCTTATACCTTATAAGGGTGTCATTTTTTTCTAAATATCATCGTGCATATTTAACTACTTTATAAAATGAAAATATTTCAGAAAATGATTATATGACGAGTACTTTTAGATCAATATTTCAAGTTATTAATTTTTTCGACCTAGACAGGATGAGGATTGAAGCTGAGAAATGTCTTGTGATAAAAATAACATAATAATTAATAATAATAGCATAATACATAATAATTATTATCTAATAAAGAAGTTGTATAATTATATGTTTTTATTTGAAAAAATATAGTTAATAACCTTATAAATTCTAAGAGTTGGACTTAAAAATACTTCATAGTTAATAAGTGATGAAAAACTTATATCCTAGGCTTCAAAAAAAAAAAATATATCAATACTATTTTTAATGTTATTTCTTCGAAAAATCAGCTGATTAATTAATTTGTTCTTACAGCAATATAAATTGTATTATTAAAGAGTGTTCAGAACATAAGGAAACGGGTTTCTATTGTTCTCATTGTTTGCAATACTTGACCTGTTTCCTTACTTTTTGAACACTATATATCTGTATTTTTTTTTTTAATAATTTAAATAAATACATGCATATTTTACAGTATAAATAGTATAACACATATTTATTATACAATTTAAAGTTTCAACATATACCAACAAACCATTTGATCTTATAGTATAGTATAAAATTCTAATCTTATTAGATTAGCACGACAAATTGTTTCTAATTCAACGTATATCAAGTATAATAGTCCAATAAAGACCCATACCAACTCAATTATTATACAGCAATAAGCTCATCTTTACTTTCCACAATTTAATTTCGAATCACATGTAATATAAAATTGTATTATGGAATAAAACTGTGTATATTTCTTACACGCGTGTTTAAAGTAGTTATTGAAGAGTGATACAACTTTTAAAGTATGAAAATATTTATTACCAACAACCAAAATAAACATATATTTATTCACGCAAAATTAATTTTTAAACAAACTATACGTTTAGCAAGAATAAAATAAAAGATAATAGTAACAATAAAATTTAACGAAACAAATTGCTAATTAAATTGACATCGCCTTTCAAGTCCAGAAAAACCATAAAACGACTGTCACTTACTTAAGTACAACAATAAAATTGTTTTTCCATAAATATATGACTAGTTACACTCTCTTTCATATTATACACGAATAAATAACGTAAATTTAAAATAATATATCAAATTTAATAGTTACAAATTTCCGATCAAAACTTGGTGACATGATATATAGATATCACTCTCATTTGTATGAGGCATTCACGTTGAGTGCTTTTTAAAGCTTCCAACAGGCATACTACTAACTTAGTTATACAATATCTTTCTTGTGAATACTTAACACTTAACGTATACATAAATCTAATATTATTTTAAAATTAAAGAACTTAAATATTATAGTTTAACTTAATTGAATTACATGCAGATTATTACTGGTATGCACACCTAGAACTGATAATAGTTGCAATATCTACCTAAATTATGAAACCAACGCTTAAAAAATAAAGTAACATATACTTTAATTTAAAGTCAAGTATTTGACAGACTTTAAGTTAAATTTTTTATAATAAATGTACATAATTGCAAAAATTAACTGTTTAATGTATGTTAATGTGTTAATTTTTCACGCGAAATATATATTATTTCATGTTTATGATCAAACTAAATAAACAATTTAACAATCAATTTATTATTTTGTAAAACATTTTGGTTTATTAACAATATTGTTGATGGTAATATTATGTATTTTATTGTATATGTAATATTTTGATAAAACTTTTGTAGATAGTAATATAATTCATTAGAGGCGTAGACCAAATTAACAAGTAAGTCTACAAATTTAATATCCAGCCAATTCAGCAAATGTGGAGTCCATTTCATCAGCCAAAGACTTGTATCGGTCTTTGTTGAGGCCGAGTTCGTCTAAAAATAAAAAAAAATTATTATTTATTCATTTCAAATAAAAATCAAGGAACAAAAATAGAACATGATAAAAATATATTTAAAATATCACGAAATTCAAAATAAACACAATAAGAAAATTTATTAACAATTTTTTATAATTAAAAAAAAATAGTTAAATTTTTTATGTTGAAACAGATAGAAACTTAAACCGAATAGACACCCTACTATATTTTTTCCCGATTACTTCAAAAAAATTATCTGCACAAAATAAGAAATATATTAATGTTAATTGATAAAACTTTTTATTAAAATGTAGCATCTTACTAAGAACATTTATTTTAATATCAGACTTACAAAAGTCTGATATCAAAAGTGTATTTTTCAGTAATTTTATTGATTTAATAGTAGAACTAAATTTGTACTTGAGCATATATTGTATGCAACAAAAATTAAATTATTGGTCATAACTGATTATTTAATAAATCATCAATTATAAACTCTAACTAATTGAAAATTTCAATAGTAAAATTAAACTTAAGAATTTGCAAAATAATTATTTAGTCAGATATTGTTAAATAAACTTTTATTATGCCTTAAAGGAAAAATTTTGAAGATAAACAATTTAAAAGACTGATTTTTGTATGAATGATTTTTTTTTCTAAAGCATATCATAATTTCAAAAATCTTGTATATTTATATTTCGAAGTTAACTTTTCAAATTTTAAAGTAACAATAAATATATTATAATACCTGGTATTAGAGAAGCAATTTTTACAGCGACAACTGAAGACAAATAACAATTAAATGAAGAAAGCTTAATAAAATAATACAAATTAAAATTAAAAAAGCATTATTACTATTATATTACAAAAGCTACTTTGTGATTAAACATATCTCGGTGTATAAAAAAAGATAAATATGGTTAGATAATCATATTTGGTTAGTAGCCTGTAAGTTCAGCAAATGTAGAATCCAAATCATCTGTAACTTCTTTAGATTTTTCTTTCTCTTTGAAGAGATCATCTGAAAAACAACATATTTAAGTGCAAACAAAAGCATTTAATTATTAAACAAGCGTCTTGTTAAGTTCGGTTGGGAAAGCTTTGTGTCTTGGTTATAAGTACCGAGGTTTAATTTTATTTTACCGAGCTATGTATATTATACTCTGAAATTGGGAAAGTGATACCCTCATCTCCCAATGCATCATTGATGCATTGCAATAGTCACCACTTTAACCAGAAATGGTTGCTGTGATTTGGTCCTCTAGGTTGGGGTTTGAGCTCAGGGCTAAGAACCCTGCCTTGTAAAAAAAAACTGTTATGAGACCATCACGGAATCAGCCTCGGATCCAGATAAATGGGATTAAGAATAGACGCTTAATTTGAAAAACAGAATTTAAGATCGTGACTTAGAACACACTGAGCCTTTATAGAATTGGAACGTGTCAAACTCTTGCTGATGTGTTAGAAACATATGGAATATAGTTAGTTGCTCACTATCCAAAATGACCAGGAAAAGGTGAGCTAAAAGTGGGGAAGTATGTAATGTATTTCTCTTGTATGGAAGAATGACACTCCTTATGATGTAGCTTTGCTATGCATGAGACTCTAGAACCGTATATAAGAGAATTTTGTCCTATATCAGAAAGGAATACCTTACTACGAGTTAATACGATACCATTGAATATAATATTAGTATGCTTATATGAGCGGACGGAAATACGGGAAAAGAACAAAAGGGATATTTTCTATGAAACTATGTCACAAATGTATGATGAACTACCAGGTAATACAATATAAAATATAAAATTGTGGAAGAGAAACGCATTTTATGCAAATGATAGAGAGAGAAAGTTTACATGAACCAAGTAATGGAAATGAACTTAGTCTTATATCCTTTGCAGCCGCAATATATATAGTAATAAGCAGCACAACGTTTCCACACAAAACCATACATAAGGCCACTTGGAAATCATCTGACGGGACAACTTGCAATTAGATAGAACATACACTTATTCAAAAAAGATTTCGGTTATGCATTAAAGACATACGTAATATCAGAAGAGTCGATTGCGACTCAGATTACTTCATAGTAGTAGCAAATTTTATGCTAAAGATCCAGAGTCACAAGAGTTTAGTGAATAGGAATAGTTATGAAATTAACCTAGAGATGTTGAAGAATGAGTAAGTACAACAGAAATATGCTATATATGTGGGCGAGTATGTAAACAACGTTAAACTAAGCGATATGGGTGGAGACTGGTTCACAGTTAGCAAAGCAGTTAAAGAAATTTTAATGGAACGCGTAGAAAAAAAAATTTGTCTAAGAAAAAGTGGTACAACGAAAACTGCCAACAAGCAGTAGAGAGAAAACGTATAGTCCGAGAAAATATTCATCAGTATAGACACAAAAAAGTTATATACCTTAGAGAGGAAAAGCTGCAAATGATTCATTCAGAGAGAAAAAGGAAGTATTTCAATGAGATATTAAAATAAATGGGTAAAAGTTGCTCACAGGGTAACGCTAGTAATTTTTTCAAGATGATAAAACAAATCGTTGAAACCAAATAATCATCAGAAATCGTAGTAATGATATAATGATATAATCATGGGCCCTAAAGAAGAAGCGACAAGATAGAAAGAATATTTCATTGAACTACTAAATGCAGATAACTCAGACAATCTTACGGGAAGGGAAAAACAGTATGGAGCTGAACCTCTGATAAGTGAACTGACTGAAAAAAAAACTAGGTGAGAAAGTCAACATTAATACAGGATTTCTAGCTTTCGAAAAAGTTAAAGAGTTTCGGTACCTAAGTGCAATATTGAGCAAAAACAATAACTGGGCTACGTTCTAGGTTAACAAAATCAGAAAGAGCAACTTTCCCATTTAATAAATTTTTAAAGTCAAAAGTATTTTCCAAAAAAACTAAAGCAAGACTAAACACAGCCAAATAGGACCTACTTTCACATCTGGTTGCGAGGCATGTACTACCATAAGCAATACGGACAAAACTTTTGAGGACAAAATATGGAGAGTATGTGTGGGTAAATATGTGGACCAGTGATAATGAAAAAAGAATATGAGAGAAAGTATAACAAAGAGCTGTAGGAAGATATGGAAATTGCATTAATAGTAAGTTTCATTAGGGGACAAAGAATCCAATGGCTAGATCACATGTGGAGGCGTAACAAGAATGTTATAAGCAGGATAGTCCTGGAATGGTAGAATACTGGAAAAATAATTCGAGGAAGGACAAGAAAAAGATGGTTAGATGTAGAGGAAGAAGACCTAAACAGAATTAGAGTGCAGGAATTGTGAGTACTAGCCCCGGACAGGGAAAAATGGAGAGATATAGCAATAGCGGTGAAAACTCTTAGAGAGTATTAAGGGCCAGCTGAAAAAAAAGATAAAACAGTAATCTACAAAAGAGAACATTAAATATAAATCAAAATAAATAAAAAACCTCTGTATAATCAACAACAACACAAATTAATTTTAAAATAAAAATCTCTGTTATAAAACAAAAAGCCAATATTTACTCATTTTAATAACAAAAATTATTTAGTTAAAATAAATAATAATTGAATACTGTCAATTCTAAAAATATTCATAAACAATTCACAAGTGTGTAGGCGAAAATTATTTGTTGCTGTATATTTTTTGATATCCTGTACTTACCTTCAAGTCTATCAACTTCTTTCTGCAATTTTTTAACTGTCTTCTCAGCATATTCAGCACGGGCTTCAGCCTGAAATAATGATATAAAAACATTAAAAATAAGGCACATATTTAATAAAAATTATATATTTCATTATATTTACCTCCTTCAATTTTACAGTTAATTGTTTTATTTGTCGCTTATATTCTTCTACTCTTTGATTAGCCTAAACAAATTAATTAAATTATTATTTAGGTTACTTAGAATCTCAATTATTTATTAAGTAACCTTCTCTTCGGAAACTTCCAAAGATTTCAAACTGTTTCCGACAACTTTGAGTTCCTCTTCCAGTTCCATAATTTTTCTACAATAGATATTGTTATTTATCTTGTGCATTATAATTTTTACACCAATATAAATTTGTACTTACGAATCTCCAGATTTCACTCGGTCTTCAGCTACTTCAAGTTCATCTTCAACAAATGCCAATTTTCTTGAAACCTATTAAAATTAATAAAAAATGCTATAAATTTAAATGTATAAATTTGTTTAATAATATTAACCTCGTCTGATTTTCCATCAGCATCTTCAGCCAAAAGTCTAGCTTCTTTCAATTGGTTAGTCAATTGATCCATACGTTCTTCATCTTGTTGACTACGATTTTCCAATACTTTGCACATACTATAAAAAATTTCATTAAGAAGATATCATCAAAATAAAAATAAATTAAAATTTACCGTTGAGATTCATCAGCTGCTTGAGAAGCTTCAGCTAATTTAGATGCAGCTGCTTGAGACCTTTCTTCAGATCTTTCGAGATCTTCTTCAATCATCTGAACTTTTCTGTTTAAGGCAGCGACTTCACTTTCAGCCTTAAAAAATTACAATATTTTGAATAATTTAAGCCAATTTTAAATCAGCAAACTTACAGTTGTCAATGATTTTTCTCTTTCTTCCAAGTTCTTAATAGCTTCCTCCAACTTCTTTTTGTTTGTTTCCAGATCGCTTTCTACTTGAGTCAGTTTCTTCTGACATTCTCTTACATCTTCATTAACCTATAAACAAACAATATTATTGTGAATTAATTTTTTAAAAATGTACATAATATATTAAAAAATACCTTATCTGCGCGAAGATTTGCGTCCTTGGCCTGGCCTTCACAAGTGTCGGCCTTATCCATGGCGCTATCCTTCTCCATTTTCATCGCCTGCATCTTTTTCTTGATGGCGTCCATCTTGTATGTTTGTTTTTTCTACTTTACTAAAATTAAAAAGAATAAATATATAACACAAATAAAAACTTTTATGAAAGTATTCCAATCACTTGTTTTTATTATTTATTTTAATTATTTATATTACAAGTATTATTTTACATTAAGAATATAAACATAGCAAAAACTTTAAAACTATGTAATATAAATAAACATTCATGAACTTTGTAGTCAACTAGTTGCAAAATCACCCTGAGAGTGGGGGCGGGGTATTATAACTCCTCCATTTGGCAATATTTCAATATTTTAGTCGGCAGTTTTTTAAGATAAGAGAATGCTACCAAAAAATAATTATTAAAAAAATTCACATCATTTTGAAAAAATATATTCAATTTGCAAAAATAAATTTTCATCCTCTATATTTTTAACTTTGGGATGACCTTAGTTAATAGTATTAAAAACACGCTAGACCAGCACTATGAGTGTTAGAGAAATATACAAATTCGTCAGAAAACGGCGAATATTATATTATTAAATAAAAAATTATTTCAAAAAATGTGTAAAAACTAGATAATATATACCATATTTTTTAAAATTATTTATTTTTCATCATTTATATCGTAAAATTTAATGTTAGTAAATAGTTTGATTCTAAAACCAATTTAGCTTTAATGCGTAAAACATAAAAATCCACTTTCCAATTCTGTTGAAATTTAAAAAAAAATAAATCATAATTATAAAAAGTCAGTCAGATTTAAAAACCCCAATTCAGCCCTATTTATGCTACTCGATTAAGTCATTGAAATGTATGTTATATGTGTTAAAAATTATTAAAACAATACACTTCAAGAATCTTAGCTGTACAAATATATTTTTTTTTGGTGGTCAAATTTTTTGGATTTAAGTTAACATGAAAATAAAAATGTTTTAAAAGAATTTTAACTACTTTATATCTTATGTACAGTTATCCAATAAAAATAAAATAAAATATTAGACACTAAGATCTTCTAACAATTATGATAATACAAATCTGATTGAAGGTCAAATTATTTTTTTAATACAAGCAATCTCATGTAAATGAATCTTTGCGAAAAAAATAATGAATTTTTATTTTTAATTAACAATAAATCATGATTAGATTTATTATAAAATAACTCAAATTTATCAATGATTGTTTAATACAGCAGCGATCCTAATGTACGTCAATTAGGTCATTTTTTGTAAGACTCCGCTCATAGTTGAAGAACTATTGAAATATTTTTTCAAAATTATAAAAAAAAAAAATTAATACCTACACTAATAATTTTACAAAAATTAGTTATTTTTTTAAGTATAAGTATAAGTGACTCAGGGTTACCACTAAACTATTATAAATAAAATATAAAAATGTATTGGTAAATAATCAATTGAATTATTCTTTAATGTAATCTTAATGTGCAATTTCAAACAAACAGTTCTATAAGTTACAGTAGTAATAATTTCAAAAAAGAAAGGTCTTAAAGAAAATTATAAATATTTGATGTATAATCAATAAATAAAACATATTATAGTAAACATGTATACTTGTTTACAACCTTTTTGTTTATAAAAAAAATGTTAACGTACATAAGGTACTACAAAATTGTTTAAGATAAATTCGTTATCAAATAAATTATAAATTATACTGTTGTCATTTCATATAAATGTTGAAATATAATAAAAAAATAAGAATTTTCTAAAATTTGTAATTTAACCTCGTATATTTTGGAGAAGAAAACAAGTTTCCGTGGAATAGGACGAAAATAGCAAAGTTGCTAATGCCGAAGAGAATAAAATATAGTAAAGAACCGTCTGGTACCGCCATTTACAGCGGGTAAACCGATACCACTACACGGCACCACGCAGCGGACGTTTAAAAATAGTCACACACCATCGTTTTGGTATGTGTTAAGACGACCCAAATTCCTACTGCGCACCTCATCACCCTCACTCGTCAAAATTTATTCTTGCTAATTATACATGATTTTATTTTAACAACAATACCTTTTAAAATGTAATATGCCTTTGCGATCTATACAAAATTTAATTAAATAGATACGTTTTTTATTTTAGCGATTTACTCGGCGGTTATAAAAAAAAGTTACTCGTGTTACTACAACTACACATTAAACAAAACGCAAGCTAAATTTGTAAATTAGTTATTTTTAAAAACTACTTAAGATTAGTATTGCTTACTTATAATAGTCAACGATTAGTTTGAGAAATATAATAGCTAAACATAGGATGTTCATTATTCTATATGTCATCGCCAAATCTTAAATATAGACATGAAAAAATAATTATATTTTGCACAAAAGCCCACGCTTTGGACAAAATTAAACTTGTATGGCGCTAGTTCAAACTTTCAAAAAAATACAGTACAGTGAAACACTGTAGACAACGGATAAAATCTATGCAAATTTTTTTTACTATTGACAAAAACACAAGTCAATAAAATATCTCAAATAATTAAGCTCGTATAAAAAACACAAATCGATTAAAATTATTAAAATCAAATGTAAATATGCTTTTATAAACTGAACTTTTAATTAATATTTTACATTAAAATTCTTTTGAAATCTGTGTTTATTTCCTAAAACAAAGTATATGTTGAGATTTATCGTCATCCAAAAAAACTGTTTAAAAAATATAATTATGATCCCTAATATAAAATAATTCATAAAAATTTAATCTGAAAATCATCGCTATTAATTATTTTGCAGTTAATACTTAAAATAATAATAAATATGGTAATAAAAAATTGTTTTAATAACTGATAAGCTACTGTGCTATCGCATTTAATTAGATGACCGACAAAATCTATATCACCAAAAAAATTTCATTCTACTGTCAATAACATAAAAATTTAAATATTATTAATAACTCAAATAAATAAATAAATACCTCCAAATAAATAAACCAAATCTGGACGACACCACTGACAGCGGTAGGCAGCTGATCCTGAACTGTTGTTGTTCTATTTGTGTGATTCCAAATCTGTAATGTCCCTTCTTTTCAAGCTCTCATATGTATCCCACCTTAAAAATCATATGGTAAGAGTGGGGGAAAAGGGAGTAGGAGTACAAAAGACGAGCCAGGAGAATTTGATAGTAAAGTGATCTTTAAGACCAATGAGCTTTATATAGCTACTTAGAACTGGGGTTTGGGCTACAAAAAATTTGATTAGAATACTTTTTAATTAAAATTAAAATTAATATGTTAAAATAGAGAGAATTTATTTTAACTATTGTTGATAATATCTTAAAATATGACAATCAAACTTTATCTATGGTTAATTGTGCTATAATATTATTAATTTTATAGGAATCACTGTAAAAATTTAACATAATACATTTAACAGTGCCCAAGTTTAAAGAGTGAATACGATTTCTTTTCAAGGCAGCTAATATGTTAAAACTTAAATAATCATAAGATTAAAGTAATAGTTAGAAATTTAAAATATATAAGTACAATTATATGTTGAATGAAGAAAAAAGGACAAAAATGATTTACATCTTTACATTACAACTAAAATCATGTCGAATTCAATTAAATTTTTTATGTTAACATAATTTCATTAATATTTTTGTTGTATTTATGTGATTCTCAAAAGAAATAATGGAAATTGTTTAAAAATTTGTTGATAATTTTAATTTATCTTTAAGACTTTATATTAATTTCCTGAATTTCAAATCTATTACGCAAATACTTAATAGTTTTGCATTGACGCTTATATTACAAAGTGATGTACATATAGAACATATTGATTGAAATTGCTTTTTAAACTTCAATATTCATAAAAATTCTTTGCTCTCATTTTATGATTTTAATGATCATTACACCAAAAGAACAATATATTAGTGTTATTGACCCTATCAGCGTCAACAATTTGAAAACCTCTCAATTTTAGAAATTTAAAAAAAAATCTCAAAATTATACTACTGACAAAAATTATTTAGTTTTGATGATTCATCAGTCAGTCAAAAAGTAATAAAATGAAAACTTTGAAACTTTCCCATTTTGAAATAGCGTAATATTAAAAGCTAAAAATTCAAAATTTTATATGTTACTAAAGCCTAATTTATATTTGAAATTTCAAAAGCCTATCTTAAGAGAAAACAGAGATACGGTGGTTAGAAAACCCGGCCAAATGTTTCGTGTAAAGATACGCTAGCACTGAGTCTGTCACACTACCGTGCGTTCAAATTGAACATTAGTTAAATTAATATATCATACATAGTAAGATTTTATCAAACAAAACTATTTAATATGAATACATTTTATTGCCATCAAAATAAATTTTAATAATACAATTCACGATTCTCATTTATTGTAGTTCCACAACGCTAGAATGATAAAAATTCATTGATACCAACAAGGCCGAATTAAGACCGGTAGCTGTACCCTGAGATGAGTCTCTTCTATGGAAAATATCGTTGCCATAAAATAGTAATGAACAAAAAAAAAATAGAAAAAAACAGAAAAACTGTATATCATTAAAAATGATGGCTAATGAACTTTTTGATGGGTTCTTTAAACTCATGAGTTCCGAGGTGTTCGCCTTCCTTGTTCTCCTTAATCCAAGCCAATCATACTAAGATTTTTAACTGTCTCTTAATAAGTAAAATGGTTAACATAAGCACAATGTTATTTTTTTGTCAACATGGAATTATTAAAAATTTTATCTGAATATTTGATATCAATTACGTAGTAAATACTACATAGGTGTAATTTGAACAACACGTTTAGAAAATCTAACTTAATTTCTCTTCTCCTTAAAAATGTTTCAATATAAATTAACATGTAATTTTCATAATTTTGCGATAGAATTAGGAAAGCTACTAACCACCATCTAGATGCTTTAGATTTCACTTAAAAGATGCTAATATATGAAAAATTAAATTAATCTCAATAAAATTGTCCAATCCTAAACACATGTAAATATACTATAAGTACGATACTTATAAATCAAAAATATCGGCAAATATGATTAGCATGAGCTGACGCTACAGTATTTAAAAAATTGTGAATAGATCTATATATACTTTTCGGCACTTATCACAATATAAGATTTAAAGTCTTCATTTAATAATAATTTTTTGTGTTATATCAATGATAATTTAAATATAAATTTCTCAACCTTATTTTTATTTACATCAGTTAAAGGTTACAGGAGAAAACTGTAATTGTCCATTTTTGTAAATTTTTCATGAAATCAAAAATAAGGTTATAAATTCTTATTCTATTAATGATAAAACAAAAATAGATCGTTAAGTATTAAAAAAATGAAAACATTTTTTATCCTAAGGATTTCATACTTTATACTACTGTCACTTATTGAATCTAACGATAAAACAATATCGTAAAAAATGAACTACCATTTTTTCCCTCGCATACTTCAGTTTAAGGTTATCTAGGAAATAAAATTTTCTATTTATCATAGTAAAAATTTTAGTTTAAAATACATTTAAGATTAAATTATTTTAGCTTGCTATATTTTGTTTCTTAAGTTGAATTATATAATTTATAATTTGTATGTTATATATATATATATATTAGATACATAATACCACTTAATGAAATCTTGTATGAAAAAAATACATAAATAATAATACTGCAAGATAAAAACATATCAGTGGATAATACATTTTAGGCAACTTGCCGAAATTTTGCTTACAGTCAAATTAAATATACTTATGAATGGCAATAATCCAGAAGCACATATTTTTATAAAAATATGATTGTATTTATTATTTATTTTAGTTAATTTTATAAACTTTATAGTATTATTTTTTATTTAATATAGGTCATCGAGCTAGCGTAACTAATAGAAAAGCTAATAAAATAGGAATACTTATATCATAGTGTTAAATTTTCTGATGATTATTAAAAAAAAAGGTAATCATCAAGAAAAATAATAAATACTTAAATTTTAAACGAGTATTTTTTGTGCCTGAAGAAAATTTGAATACATGGACTTATATAAAATCTTTATTTTTCATTTGTGGAGTAGACAATTTTTTCTTTTTAAGTAAGTCTTCAAAATTTATTTTGGACCCTTCTTTGCAACAACTTAGGGCACTCTTTACGATAACATCTGGCGAAAATGCTACAACTTTGCAATGATATTACCGTTAATGACCATACCACAAACAAAATAATACCATATTTGTTAGTAAATTAAAAAAAAGTTTCAATTTTTATATTTTTCAAAATGTTATGATTTTAATAACATACAATTGTCATAATATGAAAATAGTCTATATTCTTTATTATATTCTGATTGATTAAATAATAGTCATTTAAAAACTGTTTAAAAAAATATACTTACTTTACCGCTCTCTATGAATATAATAATTAACTAAAAATTTTCACATTATATATACTATTTATTAAACAATGGTTTATTTCGAAAATAATATAAAACAAATAACTACATACAATTATACTTAAGTTTCTTTAAATAATTCATTAATAAAAAATGATTATGAGTTTTTTTATTTATAGGTGTTCCATATCAATAAAAGAAAAAAGGCAACAGTGTTCATCGGTGACTAACCATTGTTGTTTGAACGAAAAACCGTTACAAAAAATAACCGACATCTACTGCTGCTACAATCAATTTGTGTTGTGTTCAGCTTGAACATACAAGTAAACGAATTGCTAATGTATGTGTGTACTAAAGTTTCCAATTTTGATATTGTTTTAAGCATTTTTATTTTACAGAAGTGTATTTTAACTTATTAAGTTTTTATGTAATGTAAATTACCATAGATTACTACTTAATTTTTAATTAATTGTGCTTCTATTTTTTACAAAAATGTCGTCAACTATGTTTGGATCACCCATCCTAAAGGATGAGTAAGTTTAAATTAGTATTTTAATATTAATATCTATTTATGATAATTTAAATTGAAAAAATGATAGTAATGGTTGTACTAGTTAATATTATTATGTTTGTGAATGTGTAACACCTGCTACAAAAGTAACTAATGTAATTTTGTATGATGTTTATAAATTTATAGTTTTTTTTAAAATGATATTGTCTTTATAGTTCTAATTACGTTACAATATAAATTTTATTTTATTAAACAAATTATTAGTGATGTTTAATTAAACATATTGCTGCTTATACTGTAACAGTATGTATCTCAAGATTTGACAAAATAAAATTTTTATCAGTTATAACTAAAGAAATTTTTCTACATATTGTTTGTGGGACTTAACGGCTATTAAAATAAAATCACTATTTATATTAATACATGTATAATTGAAATTTTTTTTGATCATCCTAAAAATCTAAAAAAACTGAGAAATGTAATGTTGCGATATAACATTGATGTATGATGTTATGTAACATCACACAATACAGTAATTTTATTATTCAATTTTAGTTCGGATAATGATAAGATTAAAATAATTTTGGATGAGATTCAAACATATTCTATGAATGAAATACTTAAGGTGAAAAAAAACCTAGATATAATATATGGTGCATATTCAGAAGAAAAGAAAAATGGAATCAAACAACTACATGAACAATTAATGCTTCATATAACTGTAAGCTTTCTGATATATTGAATAATCTGCTTTTAAGTTAAATACAAATGTATTTTCCCTTTTTTCAGACCTTTTTTGATGATGTAGTATTAGAGTCTGACAGAGATAAAGCTAACATTATTAAAGATATTGAAGACTTATTGCTTGAAAAAGATGTTTTAGAAAAAGTAATACCTTAATTTTTTTTTTAAATACTTCATATTTTATAGTAAATTTGTAAAATTGCAATACTTTTAAATATTAGTGAATAATATTTTTTTCATTTTAGGAACTGCAAATGCATATACCTGTTGATGACCATAATGATGCAACACCTTTAATTGATGTTCAAATAAATATTGATAAAGCATTGCAAGGTTGTAGAAAAATTAAAGAAGAACGAATGAAAGAGTTAAAAAAACTTCAAGATGAAGTAAATTTTATTTATTTATTATGTTAATGAAATTGTATTCAGCTTTTTACAAAAAATTAATTTTTAGGAATTGAAAGTATGTAGTCTTCTCAATGAACCCCCAAAATATGCAAACATCAAGAGTATGCCTTCAGCTACACAGCTAGAAACTATAAAACATCATCTTGTTGATTTACAAAATATGCAGGTATATTATATCACTAGTCCATGTTTTATTAATTGTGAAAATAATTTAACTGGAATAAATTAGATAAAACGTCGAGCATTATTTGTGGAAAGTAAAGAAAAGGTTGAATTATTAATGGAAGCTTTAGAAGAATCACCAATATTGAGTTTTGACAAAATGGTTGTGGGTGATTCAAGTAATTTTATTCTATCACAATCAAATCTTGATGAACTTCAGGTAATTATTAATTGTTTGTTTAGCAATAATTTGTAACTGAATATTTTATTATGATTTATTCATGGTTGTATAATAAGTTAAATATATTTTTATGTTTCTATATAATTCCATAATTATACATTATATAATTTATACAAATTATTCCAGAAATTAATCAAACGCCTTGAAGAACAAACAGAAAATCAAAAATGTATTGCTATGGAGTTACGTACTAAGTTAAGCTCATTGTGGGACCGATTGCAAATTGATGTAACTTACAGAGAAAATTTTGTAAGCTCTCGAAAAGGCTATGGTAAAAAAGTTATACAAGAGGTAAATTCATTACTTTTTTTTTTGTCTATTAAATAAAAATTTGGCTGAAATGTATTTTATCGGCCAATCACAAATTAAAAAAATTTCAGAATGTTTTATTATGCTGAGTAAGAGTATATGAAAACTTAAGTTATTTACAAAATAAATAAAGAAAGTTTATCATAGTACAATTATATTAATTTTTTCTAGTTAAAATCTGAAGTGGAAAGATGTGAAACTCTTAAAAAAGAGAATATTAAACAATTTATTGAGAACCTTCGTTCCGAACTTAATGATCTATGGAATAAATGTCATTTTGGAGAACGACAAAAAAAAGAATGTCAAATATACTATAGCACAGAGTATAATGAGGATATAATGGATTTGTTAGATTTTGAAGTTGACAATACTAAACAATTTTATAATGATAACCGGTAATAAATTATTGCTTAATTTATACATTTTGGATAAACATTTTAATTTTATATTAAAAATTATAATTTCAGAGATATATATTATTTAATTGAAGAAAGAGATAACCTTTGGAATAAAATGGTTATGATGCAAGAACAAGCCAATGATCCAGCCCGATTGTGGCAAAATAGAGGTGGACAGTTGTTAAAAGAAGAGAAAGAAAGAAAATTGATTCAAAAAGTAATTATTATTATTATTTAATTCAATTAAATATAATTTTTTTATCAAATATTCTAATTTATTTGATAAATGTTTATTAATATACTAATATAAAATTACATTTGTGTAAAGATATTGAAATTTTTAAAAATTGAAAATATTTATCCTATTAGTTATAATAAAATTATTATATAACTAAACCTATTTAATTAAAGTTTGAATAAAAATAATGCAATTAAGTATCTCATATGAATTGAAAAATTATTAATATAATGAGATGAATTCTACAATTTATGTAATTTAATTACTATGTGATATTAAATAAAAGTACTTTCATTAATTGACACTATTATTATTATTTTATTTATTTTAATTTTTTGTTAATTAGGTTATTAATCAATGATGTAAACACCTTTGTAATTGTATGCAAATGATCTTAAAATTGAGACATTCTATTAAAAAATTAATGTGTTGTTCCCATATCTATTTAAATTTCATCTAATACAATTTTTTTACTTTGTGGTCAGGAATTGCCTAAAGTAGATAAAGAATTAAGAAGTTTACTTCAATCATATGAGCAAAAAACACAAAAGCACTTCATGTATAATGATGAAAGATTATTAGATATTATTGAAAAACAGTGGAATCAAATGAAAAATAATAAGAAGACTCCGCAATACTCTAAGGTAATATTAATTGAAACAAATACTTAATGTTTATAATATGTCAATACTAATTTATATTTGAATAATTCAATTTTCAGCCTAAAACTCAAACAGGAATTAAAGCTCAAACTCCACTTACAAATACAAATAACAAAAGGAAAATTGTAGCAACATCTGGCAGTCATGCTTCTAAGGTCCGTAAAATTGGCATGGACCATAAAGCCGTGGTAACAAAATAAAATATAGTGTACCAATAAATATATTTTTAATATTAGTTATTTATCACAATGTAAAATTGATCTATTTATCTTCTTATCTATATCTTGATTCTTTCTTTCTTACAACTATACTATATTTTATTATGTAACATGTATTACTTGTACAATTATACTTCATTAGTAGACCTCGTTTATCAGACCTATATTTGAATAATATGTGTTAAGTAAAACAGGTCTATGTTATCTTCTATATCAGCTTTATAACTCAAGTTTTTTGAACCAGTTAATATTTACACAGAGACATAATCCAATATTTTGAAATATATAATGTGAACTGAGTCATATAAACGAGGTTCTGTCTAGTGTAAGTAAACTTGTATTTTAATATGTAATTATTTATTAGTTGATGTTAATATTCTTGTTATTATTACTTAGATGACACCTAGAAGAGAATTATTTAGTAAAGATACTAATGTTGCTACATTGGTACCATTAAACTCAACCAAATTAAATGACATTAATATAACATCAAATCGACCTAATCGAACATCTCGTCGAGGATCCAATGATGAAAATATATCTGTGGAATCCTACGCCACCTTCCAGGTTTGAACTACGTGAGGCAAATACGTTCCACACAATATTTCTTCGTTTGTGTGTAATTTCTCTCTGTTGCTTATGCCAAACTTTATATTAAAATAAAATTTATTGTTACATAACTATCTTAGCTAAAATTGTGCATTTACTTAAATTCCCAACACCCACAAAAAAAAAAACATAGCGAAATAATATAAATTTAAACTTGTAATAATAGAAGTACCATTATTTATTGATTGATTTTAATCTGTTTATTGTTTAACTAAGGATTTCCATCCATTTTTTGAAACATTGATTCAAAAATTTATGATAGTTATTACTTGTCATAATTTTTTTATCAGTTATTAATTTTTGTATTATCTTATAATTTGTTGATTCTCATTCACTACTTGCTTAATAGCTGTGATTTTTTGTGGGATGGTTGCTTTTTACATATAACAAAATTGAATCGGTTACAATGTTAATTGCCTTTTTATTTGTTTTTTATAATTTGGAATCTTTAACAAAATATAACCATATATATACCTCTATTATGTATAATAATGATAACTTAATAATTTTTTAGGAACGTCTTGAAAATCAAAAACATGTTATACTAAGTCCAACTTCTAGAAATGTCCTAAAAGAAAATGTACGCTTTACTCCAAGAAAACCAATTGTAAAAACGCCCTTAAAACAGTCACAATTACCAGTACCTTCTACACCCAAAACACCATCAAGAACAACTCCTAGAAAAGTTGTCAACCCTCGAACTGTTACCAAACTTACCCGTACAATAAACAACAAACTTCCCATAATTTTTTAATTATTAAAAAAAATTTAACATTTGTTTTACATTTTTCGACTATTTTGTTATTTTTTTTTACTGTGTTTTTATCAATTTTACCTTTGTAAATATTTTATGTCAGTATTATTCTACAAGCACCAACATATAATTTAATATGAAGAAAAGCATTTCGTTCATGTATAAATTCTCATAAAATTTAACATTTACAAAAATTGTTCAATTAAGTTCTTGTTAATTTTCGTATTTTGTGAATTTTTGTTTTATTTTCAACTCGTAAATGTTACAATGTTAATTATCTAAGTAATAGAATTATAATATTTATTCATTGATAAAATAAATAGATTGTTCTCTGTGTGTATAAAAAACTGTTTAAGTGTAATAAAAATTATATTTTTTTAAATCTTTTACTTTTAACTTTCCAATAAAAGTTAATTTTATTGTAATACCACATATAAAAGTAAAATAACATACTCAAAATTAAAACTAAAAATATTTTATAAATTATGACGTGCTTATTTTTATATATTACTATGTAAATTATAAATAATATATATTTTTTATACTTATTAAATATATGTACATATATAATTTTCACAGCTTAAAATAATTTGCAAAAAAAAAAGTATACATAAATATTAAGTATTATTGTTTGTTTTTTAATTATATATTATACTATTAAAACTAAGAAGTGAAATAGAAAATAACATTTTATGTTTGTTTAACACCAAATTAATGAATTTTTTTTTTTTATGTTATATAAAATAAATAATGAAAATCTATTAGGTATTGGTATGCCTTAACTTAATATACTGTCAGATTTGATAAAACATTTATTTTTAATAATCTTAAAGAATTTTTTAAAGAAACTAATTTTTCTCTTTTAGTTGCTAAATTTGTATCATTAATTTTGTATGGGCGTCTGCAGGTATCAATTGCCCAACTTTGACTTTTTGCTTGGTCAATTTTCATAATCATGTATTATAAAAAAATATTAATTAAATTATATTATGAATACCAAAATTGTGTGCATTTTTTTTTGAGATAATAACATAAAAGTTTAGATTTTATTTGTTAAAGAAACTTAATTGCATAAATACCACAACATATTTAAAATTTTTGAGAATGTCAATTGTATTAATACAATTGCCATTCTCAAAAATTCTTTACCTTGCAAAGGATTATACACAATTATTTTTTGAAAATCTAACTCATTAACTGAGGGGGCTAAGCTCCTTATTATTGCACCTAGGCATAACCTTCATAAAATCGTATTAAAGGACACCTCATCTCAAAATTGAGTCTGATGAAAGAACAGTAAAACAATATTTTGCACCTCCCATAAAAAATTTAGTAATTTTATTAAATTAACTTTATTTTATTATGTACTAGCTAGTGAAGTAATATTATGTAGGACATGTGATGACACATTAAGTTTTACAAATGAAAAAATGATGAAAGTAATTTCCTTAAATTGATAACTCAAATTATCCACGACACACCACAAGCATTTTTATTAATATGAGCGTGAATGTTAATGTGTTAACCAAAGCTTAGTATAAAATTTTCCTTTTTTTGTTATTGGTTAATATGCAGCCAAATCGTAAGATTGACCAATTTGGTCAGCAATGTCTCTGTACTCTTGTTTTGCAGTATCGAGTTTTTCTAAAACAAATACAAAATAAGCACCATGCAATTTAATATTAAAAATAAAAGTACTAATTATTAGTGTTTTTAGATTAAAGACTCATAATTAAAGGTACTAATGCAATAATCATATTGCTGCAGTTTAATATGAAACTTATTTTTTATGTCAGTATAAATTCTATAAAATCTGTATATCTGATTATTGTACTAGTACCTTCAAATATAATTAGTTAAATAATTTTATTTTAACTCAATTTTCAACAACATTTCTAGTTTTTAATTTTTTATATAATATTAGACGCAAATACCATATAAGTTATATATAAAACATATAACAAAATTGTAACTTTAAAATAATATTAGTTTTTTGATATAAAACAGATTATTTCTACAAATTATGATATTGAGTGGTGTTATGCCCCTTCACTCAAAGCAATGACATAGTTAGGGTTTTGTCTATTAGAGCAGGATATACAAAAGAAATGTTTTTTTCACTCCTCTAAACTAAAAGTTAGTATCTTTATCTTGTAGAAATTTGAATGAATATATTCCATTTTACGAATTAAGAAGCATCCGTGAAAATTAAAAGCCGAAACCATTTATTGTTAAAATAAACTTGTTAATGTCACAATAATTTTGAGACAAAAATTAAAAAAGTTTCTTTATTATTTTGATTATAATAAATCAAATAAATTATAACTTATTTGAGAATTTCCCAATAACCTAAGTTTCAGAAGTACAATTTTCATCTTGACTTTTTAATCTAAGGTTTAAACAAGATACAATTATGTCCACTCAACACTATTATTGACGTAGATTAAATTCATGCAACAAGTTTAAAGTTTATTCAGATTTTTAAGGTAATAACCACTTTTTACTTAGGTTGTGCTAAATGAAAGTATAATAGCTTTACATAATTTGTCAGTTTATAGCAAGTTACCTAATATAGGATTTGTTATACTAATCTGTATTTAACCAAATTCAGAAATATACTTTATAGACCATGCTTTTTTTTTTTTTGCTTATCGTAAATACAATTATTTGAGTTTATATATATTTAGTGTATAGAAAAACAGGAACAAATTCATTCATGCATACAAAAAAGTGCTAAATAAATAAAACGCATTCAATTATGTATTTGAACAGTATAATGTGTAATTGTGTGAATATTTCACATAGCTCCAACAAAATAACTAAATCATTTCGTTATAACATAGTTAGATATTTACATAAACAATGAAACACTGATGGCATTGCACTAAACTCAATGTTTTATAGTTATCATTCGGCAATAATAATAAATAAAAATACATTATATAGACTGATATAAATAATAAACAAGCTGATAAAATAGTGCAATTACACAACATAAGAGGATATTAATCTTAGTTTTATAATTTATTATATTGTGATGGTTAAACATATTAATCAACGAGTTCAGAGAATGTTTGGTCAAGATCGTCACAAATGTATTTGTATTTCTCTTTCTCGTGGACCAATTCGTCTGGAAAATAATAAAATATATATATACGTTCTAAGTTAGCAAGAAAATTATTATTAAAAAAATAACTGGGTACGACTCTTTATATATTCTTTTTATCTTCCACATTTTATTGATAAAATATATATATATATAGCACTTAGGATGACAATAAATAACTGTATAGAATTTAATTAAAATAATAAAATAATAATTTATAAGATGAGCTATTGGTGATTATAACCTAACGTTAATGCAAAATCAATTATTCTGTACAACAGAAGTAATGTTCAAGTACAGAAGAAACAATTAACAATATTAATAAATTTTTCTTTTAATTGTTGGTTATTTGACAAATAACAATAACAATACGACGCATAAAATAAATCACAAGATATACTATCAAATTGAATTGATTTTTTAGTAAGGCAACAATAGTTACTTTTCGCTTTTAACGTCATATAAAACAATAGACTGTATTATAAACGAAAGATAAAATAGATATTCTGTATAAATATGTTATATTCAAACAGACAAGTATCAAAAATATATAAATAAATAATTTTAGTACAATTAAAAAAATTTTACATGGTAAATAATTTGAAACTATTAGTGTTTAAAATTTATTAACTGTATATTTTAAAGTAACAAAGGTTACTTAACTATTTAACTTGTCTACAAGCGTAAAAACAAAGCTATAATAAAAACATAAATTGTAAGCTTATACAATGCACAAAATAGATATATGTTATCAAACTACAGAAAATATTGAGTTGAAATCATTTTGTGGATGATGTTAGTAGACTGTATTGTATTTTTAATTTTATTTATATGTAAGGGAATGTAGAAAGGGAGTGTAATTGGAAAAACAGGCAGACAGATGGGAACTATACGTTTGTGTACAGGATAGTGTAGGTTATGTGTAAATGTGTAGTATTGGTGTTTAGATGCCATACAAATCAACAAACGCAAGATCCAAGCTGTCACCAATATCTCTGTATCTTTCTTTTTCAGCAACCAGTTCATCTGAAAAGCAAATTGGTTAAATAGTCATTAAGTCCTATCAGTCTGTACATAGGAAAAACATTGAAAAGGAAAGTAAGAATAAGATCAAAATCAAGCCCAAACCAATACAAAGGATGAAGATCTAGTAAAAATATACAAAATATATAATATACAATTGNAAACGCAAGATCCAAGCTGTCACCAATATCTCTGTATCTTTCTTTTTCAGCAACCAGTTCATCTGAAAAGCAAATTGGTTAAATAGTCATTAAGTCCTATCAGTCTGTACATAGGAAAAACATTGAAAAGGAAAGTAAGAATAAGATCAAAATCAAGCCCAAACCAATACAAAGGATGAAGATCTAGTAAAAATATACAAAATATATAATATACAATTGAAATTTTTTTATTAAGTATGAAGATGGGTACTATTAAAATACTTAAATTAAATATTTTTAAACCTAAAAAAAAATACTTATCTATTAATAAAAATAAAAAATTAATAAGGTTCAAGAATTGATTATTCTATTTCTTTTAATAATTATTAAATACTTTTATATATTTATTCTCTAATATTGAATTATGAATGTTAAAAAAAAATGATTCTAATTCTAAAAATATACATTTTTTTAATGAGTTTTTTTAAAAGCCTAAAAGTAAAGAATTGGAAATGCTTAAATGTTAGTATAATGAAAATAAGTGCAATATAAACATAAAATGTGTGGTCGAACCTGTGCTTTATGTGAAGTTAGTATTTGAATGTATTTGGGAAGTGTTAAAACAAAAATATTAACTAAGTGTATTTAAGTAAAAAATACTTGTAAAAAAAAGGAGCAAGAGATTTATAAAGGATAAAGAGGAATATGAAAGGATGGTAAGTTATTTTACATGTTTTGGATGTCGTGCAAGGTGGCTTCCATTTCTTCTTGTAAATGCTTGTTCTTTTCTTTTTCCCCAGTAAGATCATCTGTTATGTCGAATCCAAGATCAAACAAATGCATCACACATAAAAACAAAATATTAGACAACATGCAAAAATAAAATACACAAAAATAAAAATATCTAAATAATAGTATAGCTAAGTTAAATCATAACTACAGTGCAAAACAAAAACTGTATTTTTAATTATGGAAATCTAAAGACAGATATAGTTGAGTTTATTTTCATTTTAATAAGGTATTAAACTCGATAAGTAGTCACACTTAGAGATGAGTGAACACAATCACACATTGTTATAACCATAAGGTAACACAAAAACATAGTTAGTAAAAATACTTCCTTTTTTTAGTCTTATAATAATTTAAGTGTGTTGACAAAATTTAAAATTAAAAAAAATGGAAATTTATATAAATGTTATTATTTGATGCCTATTTTTTCTAAAATGTTCTATACAAATAAATATTTTCAAGAATTTTAGGTAATTACTAATGAAATAAAATTAAAAATTAGTTTTACAATAACATTTAAATTAAGTCATTCTAGCACATATTTAATGAATTATCTTTAATATTTAATATATAAATGAAAAGCTATGAAGTTAAAATATATATGTCAAAATAGGTTACATACCCAGTATTTCACCACTTACTAATAACTATTTTATTTTCATATTGAATATTTGAATATTGTAGAAATATTTTATGATGTATAAAAAAATTAAAGACATAAACATAATAATGCCCAACTCACCTTCAAGCCTATCAACTTCTTTCTGCAATTTCTGCACAGATCTTTCAGCAAATTCTGCTCTAGCTTCAGCCTATAATTAAAAACAATGCTTAAATATCATATTTTTAAACAAAGCAAAATTTGTAAAATTTAAAAAAAAAACTCATGCAAATGTGTAGTAAAACATGTTAAAATCACTTAAAATGACAAATTAAAACAATAAAAAAGCATTTTTAAAAATAAAAATGATAAATCAGTACAAGAATATATGATATTCTTAATTTTATTATTTAAGTAAAAATAATTTTTTTTTACTTTTTCTTTAAATTGTTAAACAAGATATCTTCAATTCACTTTAATCAAAATTTAAGAATTCACAGGTAAGAGATATTTTAAATGATTAAATGCGTCTGTTTAAGACCTATTTACCTCTTTAAGTTGTGCACTTAGACCTTTAACTTGTTCCTCAAAAGTTTCTTCTCTTTGAGTTGCCTAATTTTTTTTAAGTGCCAAGTGTATAGTGAGTTAAGCGTGTACAAACCAGTTGACAAAACAAAATAAAAAACAAAAACAAGTTAGTTATAAAATATCAATATCACAAATGTCATGAAATTTAATTACAATGTTTTGGTAATGTGGAGTTAAGTAAACTAATGTTTAGTGAACCAGAGCAATATTTTAGTGAGTGTTATAAACACAAAAAACTTAATTAAAATAGACCAAAAATCAGTGTGCAATTGGTCAAAAAGCAATTTAAAAAAAAAAATGGTATGCAACCACACAATCTGAACCATATTATTTTGTAATACCTCTTTCAAACGATTTGTTAAAGTCTTAATTTGGTTCTTATACTCTTCTTCACGTTGGTTAGCCTGTCCAAAATCATATAATGAAATATTTGATTTGACCAATGTTTTATTTTATTTTACCCATTAAATATTTAAAGAAATATTGGGATAAAAACATTAAACTTTGATTGATTAATTTTAATAAATAATTCTTCTACACTTCTTATTAAAACGTAAAATAAAAACCATATAAATAAATAATATAAAATAATTAATTGTTAAATATAAAATTCTAAGTTATTTTCCTATTATATTTATATGAACAATAATATTGTGCATTTAATAAACAGATAATATACATTTACCTTTTCCTCAGAAACTTCCAACGATTTTAAGTTGTTACCTACAACACGTAATTCTTCTTCCAATTCCACAATTTTTCTAAAAGATTAAAAACTTGTTGATTAATGCAAGGTATTTATATAAATTAAAAAAACAATTATTTGATACAAAATGTCAAAATAGGAAACATTGATAATTTTTGATTGCGATTAGAAGCTAAACAATCCTTACAAAATTTTCAAACTAATAAGCAACAAACAAAAGTTATGTTTTTAACTTACCCACCATAACAATACAAACTATTTATTTATTTATAATTGATATTAAAATAAAATTTTAACAAATTATTTATAGTATGATTTACATAATGCATCTCATAATTTACTCACGCATCACTGTGTTCAGCTCTTTCTTCTGCTCTTTCTAAATCTTGCTCCATCATGACCAATTTACGACCAACCTAATCACAATTAAAAATAATAAAACAAATTGCATGCAAAGCTGTTAAAAATAAAAATCAAAGAGGAATTGAAAAAAATGAAGGAAACTATGTAAGGATAACACACAAATATTATCAAATAAATAAACACAAAATGGAGCTTAATAACTTGTAACAAAAGCTTATAAATAATAAAATAAGAGTAACTAACAATTTTTGTAATAAATAAGCCAAAAAAACGCGCATTATATTATCTAAGCTATCAATCTCATTTGAAGCAATAAAAATCGCAATCTCAAAAATTATCCAACTAATTTCCTGTATCATTATTTTTTCTAATTTTTAATGATTTATTTCGTGCTTACGATTCACCAGATTCAGCACGCTCTTCAGCTCTTTCCAAATCAGCTTCAACCATGGCCAGTTTACGCGCTACCTGATAGTAATAAATGTACAAACATTTTATTTATTTTATAATAATGACTGTAATATCAAAACTACTTTTAAAAGACAAAAACAGATTGAAATAAAAATGTTAATACTTTAATATTAAAAAAACACACAACAAAGGTTAAAGGTTAGTGTAAAATTAAGTCTTTCATTGAATCCAAGTAACATTTAAAAAAGTAATAAATTAAAAATATTACAATTTAGAATAAAACTAATACAAATAATTATACTATAAATATTATTAAAAAACAATTTATTTACTTAATTATAGACTATTGAGCTCAAACCCATTTTTAATTATTAACATAAGAGAAATTGTTTAAAGGAAAATAATACAGCACTATACTTGTAAATAAATGTGTAACATTTATTCCTAACATTAATTGCTTCACAATATGTTTGTAATTTATTAAGTTTAATAGAAAATATTTTTAATAATATAAAGGTTAGTGTAAGGATTATAATATAAAAGAAAACTATTTGCATTTATATTATTCTGACAGGTTTAATTAACCCTTAACTCTAGCTGTTACAAACGCACAACAGCATAAGTCTAAGGTATAACCTTATATATATATATATATATACATATATATAAAATTTACTATATTTATAATTTTTTTTCATTTTAATTTTCAAGTAATACTACACCATAGGCATTTTTTAGGTTTAAAGAAGATATATACATTATTTATAAACAAAAATTAATGAAACTTCATATTTCTTTGTAAGATAAAAGTATTATTTAATATTTAAAAAAAATGTGACATTGATCATAAAATATTGAAAATAATGAGTTAACTTTACAAAAAATATCTTTAAAAAATTAATTTTTTAAACTATTATTATAATTTAAATATTTTAAGTAATCCTTGAAAAAAATAAAAAATCTTAAAGTAAAAAAAATCTTTTGATAAAATACAATTCATTAGTGGGCTTTTATAGTATAAAACAATCATCGATAAAAACACAAGTCAAATTTTAAGTTGAGATTATAAACCAGTAAATTTAATAGAAAATTTATAGATTTGTTAATTAAATAATCTTTATACTGCTTGCGTTATTTTATATAATTTTTTTAATTTGTGTTCTTTTATAAAAAAATTTAATTATGATAAAATAAATACTTTTAAATTTTATTTCAGCAGTAAATTTTTATTTTTTTGTAAATGTTCTATTATTTCTTACAACTTTTTAAAATTAACGTAATATAATTTAATTTTGTGTTGAGTATGGTTTATGTATTTTTTTTTTAAATATAATATATAATTTATTAATTGAATTTTATCATTTTTTCTACTCTTTTACTAGAAGATCCTAAACATTTCTATTTTTTAATATTTACATTTTGAAATATTTTAGAATATCAGAATATTCAAATCATACTCACAATTATATCAATAATTTTTTTTAAATACGACAATTTTGAAAGTAAATTCTACATATTTCTAATGAATACCTAATGTATGTTTTTTATTTATAAGTAGAACTATTTTTTCAATTATTTTCACAAAAATTAATTCTAACAAAATTAGTTTAAGATAAAACTCTACTCATAAATTACTTAAATATTGAAATGATTATGAATAATAATCAATTTAATTCTCTTTATAATCACCCAGTCAACAATATATATGATAAGTTCAGATGGTCCAAAAAACATGTATATGTACATTTATTTATACATACTTTGATAAATTCAAGCATAGATATTATATGAATAATAAAAACACATAAAACATAAAAATTATAAAAATATTATTTAATTTGCATTTTTTAATATAAAATGTAACATGTTCATCAATATTTCAAAATTAAACAATTTATTGATGATAAAACAAAATAAATCTAGTACATATAAAATGATACTAACTATATCTCATTCTTAAAAACAAACCATGACAGATTGAAGGTAGTTCATTATTATATATATTAAATATGTATAAAATAAATCGATTCAGTTTTTAACTTAACTCTTTTAGTTAAACATGTATATATATAATGCATTAAAACACTTATAATGAAATATAAAAAATAGTCCTTTTTTAAACACGATAAAATTTATTTATTTTATTATAAATAAATTAATTAATTTGTATATAAATAATTATAATTTTAAAAATGACATATTCATAAAAATCATTACTAATTAACAATATTTAAACAAGATAAATAGAATTTGATATTATAATTGACAAAATAGTTATGATAAAAATGTACACATTTTTATTCAATTTTACAGCTGATAAATCACATTTTACTCGGACTCAACAAAATAAGTTAGCTAAAATCATTAATTGGCTAATTAGTTTTAAAAACCAAAATAATTAAGATATTTCTTCAAATAATCATTAACTTATTTTCCATTAAGTTAAACTGTATTTCTTCATAATTTCGATTAGTTTATCTAATATTCATACCACATTGTTATGGTTTTTTCATTAATATTGGTTAGTGAGTTACAAAAAATCAGGTAAGGTAACGGTTCATCAACAGTGTTAGTAGCACACTATCGTTCACCTCATCATATTTTTTATCGGCTTCTTCAGCCAAGAAACGGGCTTCTTTAAGTTGATTTTCCAATGCATCCATACGTTCTTCATCGGCCAAACTACGATTTTCCAACACCTTACGTGCACTATATAAATCCCAAATTTTATACCCTATTTATGTAAATTTTAAGCTTCTAAAAGTAAATATTATGTATTCCTAATATTCTCACTAATAAAGTCCTACCTATAATATTTATATATTAATAAATCCTATACATAATTTTTAATTTATATTGTACTCTAAGCCACGTCGTGTTTTTGTGTTTATAAGGAATAAGAGGAACAAACAAATATTTTAGTAAAAAAAATAAAGCAACTCAAAAGCTATCATTTTACCTCCTCATACTTCTTGTCAGCTTCTTCAGCAATGAGTTTGGCTTGAGCCAATTGAGCTTCAAGTATAGCTACTCGATCATCTTCCATATTTGTTCGATTTTCCAAAGCTTTACGAATCCTTTCAATTTTAAAAATATACATAAAAATACACACATACACATGTTATTGTGTTCTTAGTTATCATGCAAAAACAATGAACTACTCTAATTTATATCTATAATTTAGTTAAACAAAAATAGTTATTCGTTAATAAAACTGTTATACTTGTATTACATTCACTTATACGCAAAATTATTATCTCTTATGAGCTATTCATTAAAATTAAGAGATGGAAAACTTATATATCTCAGTGAAACTGAATAAATAATTTTAAAAAATATATAACAAACATTAAAAATTATGTCTAAATTTTCATTTTTTAACAATATCTTAACTTACTTAATTCACTTTTTTTTTGTATTAAAGAACCTATTCCCTCTTATTTTTAATACATAATGTGATTAAAATAAATATTTTATACTATTTTTAGTATTAAAAATTATTATGTACTCGTTGTATTAAACATCTAATAGAAAAACATTATTTAAAATATTTTTGATAGTTCAGCTACTTTAATTTTAAGAAAATATCATGAAATAAAAAAGATTTTCAAAGAATAAAGAAAAAAAATATATATATATATATTTACAAAATTTAAAAAAAATCATGGCAAAGTAAAACCAATAACTTCTGCTCATCTGAACATTGAAGCTAAAAATAAATTTTAAAAATTACATCTCTATTTCCCAACTAAAACTTCAATTATATTGATACAATATAATAGGCTATAAAGGAAATAATATCTCATTGGTATCTAAGTAATAGATAAAATAAAGGTACTTTTTAATCAAAAAAAATAATTAATAAGAAACTGATTGCCCAAAACTAAATATTTCAAAAAATATTATTTTCAAATCATAATAAAAAAGTTAAATAATATTTCTATCAAAATTTTATTGAAAATAATTAGATTCAAAAAATAAATTAATCTGGTTATAAGATAATTAATTAAAACACACAATTTTATTAAATGTTTAATATGTTGGCTAAATTAGTAATGTCAATTAAAAACTAATGCTTTTGTTCACACAGTAATTGGTTAACAATAAATTAAACTCACCAACTAAATAAGAATTATTAATACGACGTGACGGTACTTTTTGAAAGAAAGTATGAAAATGCATATTTTGAAATCATTTATGGTATAATTAAAATAATTATAATAGAATAAGATACCCTAAATTAAAGAGTTTATAATTAAAATAAAATATTGAAAAGTTTCTATCAAACAATTGACTTTTTGTTACCACTGTTTTTAGTAAATGAATACCTATTTTTTCCTTAAGAAAATTGAAATTATTTTAAACTTTATGGACCAGAATAATAGTTGTGGCTCAAGATACATATCCAATAGGGAACTTACCGTTCAGATTCATCAGCAGCTTGTGATGCTTCTGCTAACTTAGCAGTAGCAGTAGCCAAGCGCTCTTCAGACCTTTCTAAGTCTTCTTCAAGTAATTGAATACGTCTATTAAGAGCAGCTACTTCACTTTCAGCCTAATTAAAAAAAAAGCACAATTACTATTTATTTAAATATTTGTTGTTATTTATAATATATTAAGTTTTACTAATTATATCCAAAATTTGACTAGGTGTATTTACGTAAAATAAGTATCAACAGGAAACCAAGCCTAGGTAGTAACTTCCTGGATAAACAGCAGATATATTTTACTTAATAAATGGAGAGCCTATTGTTAGGTGACAAAATGTTTCATCACGCCTAACTAACCTATGTAATTGACCTTGTATGACTAGATTACACTAAATAAACTAAATATATATATATATATATATTACACAAATAACTTTTTTATTTTAGTCTAGCTTAATTAGCATATGGTAATGTATTTAATTTTTTTTTTTTTTTTTTTAAATCATTTAATACTAAATTTATAAACAAAATTTGGATGAAGCTTTCATTTTCTTTATTGCCTCCAAAAGTTAAAAATTATACAGATTGTCAAATGAATATACTTTTTGCAAAAGAAATTAAATTCTATTGTGCTTTGGTACAAATGTGTTATAGTATGAGAAATGAAAGATTAAGTATATTTTTTTTCTTATAAAACAGTCTCTAGAACAAACTGTCAATAAATACTTGAACTAAAGCTAATTTATTTAAATTTATAAATATAATAATACAGTTATATAGTTCACATTTAAAAAAATTATTGATGTTGAAGTATATCATTCCACCTCTAACCTTCTTATCAATAACCAATGATATATTATGAGTATATAGAAATAATCAAATATTATATATTCTACTTACATTCATAGTAAAAAATTAAATAATCAATTAAATTGAAAACGATGATCATTTAATTTTAATCAAAATATTATATTCTATCAACATTTCATTTTAAAAAACAATAGATCTAATAAATAAATAATTCTAGCACCATTATTAGAATAATAATTTACTTTGAAAAGCATGATAATTCTAGTTTTATACACCACAAGTGCAAATATATTATGATATGTAATCTGAAACGCAACCCTCTTATTAGGTAGATTCATATCTTACTCCTTCAATTAGTTAAAAGTCGAAAAATCATCAACTAATAAGGAGTATCGTAAAAATTCTATTATAAAATTATAACAATAATTTAAGAAGACAGTATGGTATTTATCTAATAGAAGTATTAACATTGAAGATAGGGAAATTATAACAAATAGTAAATTTAAGTTTACTAGTTAAACTTGTATATCAACTTGAATTTCAGTACATAGATTTGTAAACCCGTCGATAATTACTCAATCATCGTAACCAATAATATTTCTTTACCGAGTTGCCAAATTATCGATTCTAACAAAAAACTCCAATATTTAGTTTTTTGTATAATTATTATCTAGAGTAGTGTTAATAAACATTTCTTAATTAAACGATAGTACAAATCAATGTTTGACCATCAATACTGAAACAGTGTTATTGATAAAATATCTCAGGTCTACTTGTTATTAATAATAAAAAAACCTTATACACAGCTCACTAGCTTTTCTTACAAATAATACCAAAAATATTGATAAAGAAACATACTTCTTCTCGCCTCATGACCTCCATTTGTAGCTTTTTATGAAAATCCTCGCACTCCTCCTTATACCTTTCCATCTCTTCTTTGGTCTGACGCATTTTTTTCTTTAAAACGTCTAACAACGACCCTTGCTGTAAGGTGGTCATGATGATTTTTGTTTTCGAATAAACGCGTTGGCGGATTAAAAAGGGTATGCGGAACGAATAACACCGGACACACACAAACCGCACCCTCGAGAAATTTCAACTGTAACTCTCACGTTATCAAACGAGGGACGACAAGGAACAACAAAAAAAAACACTGACAAACCTTCTACACGTCGCACAATTTTCCGTATAAGCCACACATACACAAACAAATACCGAACGTTCCGTAATCAACCGGCTACGACGACGGATCGGGCGAATACAATACCCAATACATACACGCACGGCCAACGACGGGTCATATACGGTGGAGTGTATGTAACGGCGCGGAGGAAGAGTGGGACGAGGAGAACAGCGACGGCGGCGAAGGGGCGGCGGCCTTGCTAGCGACGTTGCCGGTTTTTGCGACTAACAGGGCAAGAGGAGAAGCTGAAGCGCGGCAATTTCGTTCGTATTTGGCGTTGACCGGCACACGGCGAAATAATAAAAACAAATTCATCAGTTACATCCACGCCGACTTAAACTGGTTTCACGCACGAACACGCTGGAAGCGCGCGTCCCGAGTATGCGTCACGCGCTTTTGAGCCGTGCCCTCTCTCTCATTCACACGTCAGGGTACAATCGGTATTCAAATAATATTAAAAGCACATTAGGTAATGACCGTTTAGGCACGGAACCCAGCGATTCGAGAATAGATTGTGGTGAGCGTGTCGATCATTCCTAATCAATCCCTTAATTCCCACATTCGCTGTTCTGTAACAAACGCAATAGCCTACGTTACGAAACGAATAATTTTTACAGCGGTACTACGACACACTGACGCCATATAAGCACGATTAGCTTTATTTGGCCATAAAACGATCATCGGTACAACAGTTCTCGTCACACGTTATGTCCTACGTTTCCACAATAGGTATGATTCATGTTTAAAACTGAACCATGTTAATGACTAACGAAAGTAGTATTAACTTTATAGGCTCTCGTAAACTACATCTCGAGTAGTTCGTTATCAACGGCATCGCGTACCAATAATCGTTCATTTAACGCATTGTAACCATGTCGTACCATAATGTCTTATTAACGTACATTCTTCGGGCAATGTAATATTTTTAATTACCGCGTACTAAGTACACGTTTAATAGCACAAGTCCAAACGTTTTCAACAACAACAAATTCCTTGTTAATTATGCAGAAAAATATAAACACATTGGGCAAACGCGTTTAAATACAATATCTGTTTACAAACGAGTTGTGTTCACAATCAACTTTTTATAACGAACACTTTTCCAAACATATTTATTCGAGAAGCTTATTCAAATCGTAATCCGTATCTATACTTATTTCAATTGTTCTTTTTTAATAAACACGGTTTTTTTATCCAATTTATAAAATACCCAAATTATACTAAGGATGTAGATTAACTATGGACACACATTTCGATTTATACTTTTCAAAGTCACTCAATCGTAAACACAATTACCACTCTATACTAAACGCATGAAGTACTTCTACAGTGACATCCCCTTATTGAATAAAACTACCGGCAAGTACATTACGACTTAACTATCTTCAACCGTATATCTATAGAACAAACCAATTCAAATAAAGTTAAAATCATTAAGCTGAACAAGAAATCAAGTGTATAGTTCATCGAACGCGCTCTAGTAGTGAAACTTAATAATACAATACAACCCAGATTTTATCAGATTTATTTAAATCGATAAAAAAATGATACGTTTCACGCGTTGAAAAAAATAAATGTGGGTTTTAATCAGGTTTGACAACTCATCATTTACCAGTAAGACTAAGTATACCACATGCGTTTCACAATAAATAATTCAATAAGCCGTATTCGCCGCTAAGAATGGGATTACTAAAGAACTCTATGTACAGTCATAAAATAATTCACACGATCGACTTTCAATTAAATTAATAAAATACAATTAATAATAAGCCAGATTGTGTAGATAAAAACATGTTTTTGTTTCATTAGTAGATTTGTAGTTCCATGTGATGTTTGGAAACCAATTGAAAGGAAATAAATTGTTTCAAATTCAGCGGCAGCGCAACGCAACCAGCTATATCGAATTGTGGTACATATTAGACAAATAATTTTACATTTGAGTCGAAAGAAAAACGATTAATAACGCCGTAACAACTAAACCATTATCATTACGATTTAAGACGTATAGAAATTGCCGAACAAATGAATTGAAAACAGCAGTGTAATGACCTCTACAGTTACAAAAAATAATATTCAAAGTAAACGCAGTCCACTCCGTATTATATAGCGAAATGCAGTGGTGGGATTTGCTGCACACGTATGCTTGGCACCGCGCCTATAGTTTAATTACATGAATAATTGACCGTGTGGCAAGTCAGTGGTTATTAAAAAATAATATACATACAAAAACGACAATTTTAAGTGGAAAACTGATATAAGACACACGCGAAATAAACGCGTTATGGTCGACTTTAATAAACTTGCAAAAAACAAGTTAAAAACCCATTAAGTAGAATAATATCATCCAACTTGGAGGACCGCGTTGGGAACCCGTTGTTCCACGTCGCGACTATCACTCCCACCTATGGAACGATCATTCGGCGCAGTCAGCTGTGTAACGCTACAAATAACGATAACCAGCCACGCCGACCATTCCGTTAACTTACCCGTCGCAACTGTGGCTTAAGAACGTTGTGCAACTCGTTCCTGATGATGCTAAACTTCATGCCCGTTTCGGTGCTGAAAACTGAACTGGATAACGCTAGCCCGGGATAGTCTGAACACCTCTTCCGCCGACGTTTTTCTCGCTCTGCAATCACCTCGGCGCTTTCGCTGGGACACCGAAGTTTGGCGAGAAGTTCAGTCTCGTCGCTGGCACCGTCCTCGACGCCATCGCCATCAGTTCTCTCGCATTTGGGTGTAGGCAGTGGCAGTCTTGCTCTGCTCGCCGGTGGTCTGTACAAGCCAGGAGTCACAGCTGTGCCCGTTGTCTCAGCTCCGATGACAATTCTTTGCTGTAGAGGTTGTTGTCGGTCTTCTGGCGGCCGCCGAGCCCTGGGGCGCCGGTCGACCGCGGTCGCCTTCCGGTCACGTCCGCGGTTCATGGTGCAACGAGACAGCAACAGCAGCGCTCTCACACGGCCGACGGCCAAGTGCCGGTGGCCCGCAGTAAACGCTACGAGTTGGTGCACACGCCGCTTCGGTTCCGTGTTGTTTTGCTGGCTGCTTACCAAAAAACATACCAAGACGACTGCTGCCGTCTGGCCTGTTGATCTCCGACCGTCTTTTTCCCTCTCTACAAACTGCTGTCTTGCCGCTTGTATGTTGTATCGCGTTAATTGATAAGGACAGCACAGTATTTTTTCTATCAAAACGTTACACAAACACTGTATGCGTACTATTGGTTATCGATTACATTATAAATTTTTATAACAATAGTGTCTGTGTATTATCGACATTTACACGTTAAGGAAGTCCATTAGGTATAGTACAATTGTTGTTATCAGTTTACAACAAACTATATCAAATACGAGCGCGGCACTCGTCTGCAATGAAACCAACCGTGTTTAATATGAATTACTTGAGTGAACACATACGTATAATATTACATAAAAATATTCATAACGTCTGATGATATTCTAGCACGTAAATAGAATTATAATTCAAACGTCATGTTGGCATCAATACATGACACTTTGGCCAATATAATATTGGCACGTTACAAAAAATGTATATATAATTAATCGGCAATCGATTATGGTTTATGTTATAAAACAATTAACACACTGGGCACTTGTAATATACATCGTTGAAATTCTTTACCGAATTTAGTAAGATATTAAGAATTTCAAGAATTTAAATTAAGCCAAATGCAAAGGTAAATAATTAGTACTTAAGTTATAAAATGTCTCGTTTATAGTCATCATTAAAAATATCATTCTTTTGACATGCATAAAGCTTTTCAACTTAAAGAATTTTCTTATTTGTATATTCTCTCAAAATAAAACCCTAATTAAACTTATGAGCATTATGACAACTTTCTTAAGCTGATACTTTATCAATACCACACGCGAATATAATTGTTACTGTTAGTCAAGAAAAGATTCAATTCGATGACGTCATTGTCTTAACTAATGACACAGACTCTTGAGAAATATTATTGACAATTCAGCAATCATTCGATAATAACACACAAATAAGATTGCTGACGAATGTTAAAAATTATGCTTGCGAAGTGGTTATTATTAATGAAGGTTAAATATACGCCGTGATAATTAAAAAAATATTGTACATACTCGTGACTTTAAGTCGAATATAAATGTATGTACATGCGATTGACCTAATAATGAATGAACATCATTAAGTGAACACAATTCAAAACTAGTACCACAGCAAATTATTTTTCTTAAATCTGTTTTCTATCGTATTAAAATATGATATAATTAAATAAAAATGTAAACAATATTATTTACAATTTTATAAATTGACTATGATGCATTCAGTTGCATTTACAAGTTTAAAAATGTTTAAGCGCTTACTTCTGAACTAACTGAAATATCGACGAATAACTTCTTAAAATATTTTAATTATCGAGAATTCAAATATTTTATACATCGAGATTTTATTGTTATTTTTGATATAAAACTCTGACCCATTAATTGTCATGTATTGATAAATATTTGTTTGACTATCTTACAGAAAAAATGTTGTTTACTTAATAATGATAAAATTATGACTGATCGTTAAATATCAATTTGTAGCTATTATTTGTAATAAAATTAGAGTATAAAAGAAAATTAATAGCAGAATGCAATCGAGTCTATTTGATGAAAAATATAAAACTTAAATTTATAAGTGAAAATGTGGCCATAATCAATACTTGAGATTTAAAATAATATTTGTTATACCATGAATAGTACAATAAAACAATGGATTCATTTAAAAAATATAACCTTAGCCTCCATATATACAATTCTAAAGAACAACGAGTGATAATAAATATCAAACGAAATAACCTACACAAATGAAAAATTATCTAATATAAATTTTTGTATTGTTTATGATTGATCATAGAACATATTTTAAAGGACAAACATGTGAAAATATTTTCATCGCTAACAATAATATCAAGAACGAAAAATTGCAATATTTTCATAATTAAAAAGAAGAATTGGTTGTACTGTTGAATGATACACATTAGACAAAAATACTACTAACTGTAAATAATAAGAAACCAAATAATTGCTGATAAATGAGTTACAACAATCATACACTATTTACTATCAGTAAATTACAT